CCCTCCCTCCCTCCCTCCCTCCCTCCCTCCCTCCCTCCCTCCCTCCCTCCCTCCCTCCCTCCCCTCCCTCCCCTCCCTCCCTCCCCTCCCTCCCTCCCTCACTGTTCTCTCAGCATGCACATGCTCTCCTCGCTGTGGACCCGCGGCAGCCTCGCGGCAGCCGTCGCCATAGTCGTGAAGCAGCTGCCATGGATTATCCGCTCATTGTCCAAGGAGGAAGCGGGGTGGGGTGGTCATACTGTAGGGGTACTATAATGTAGGTGTTTGAAAACGTGGGGTAGAGTGAGTCAAATTATTGTTGGTCAATACATGCCTTGTGGGGTGTGTTTTTTCGGGCGGGGGTAGGGTACTTTTGGATTTAGCAATAGGAGGGTGGGTATAGGAGAAGTGGCCCCGGCATGCAGATCCTTGCGCTATCTCTGGCGTTGGGTGGGATCATGGCGGCAACAGCGTCCCCTCTGCCATCATCGTCTCCTCTCCTCTCCTCTCCCCTCTCCTCCCTCTCATCTCCTTCGACGCTCCTTCGTGGATCGAGCCTGCCAGCAGGTGCTATGAAGCTGAACAGGTTACGAGGAGGGGCATGGATCGACAAGAGAACGCCCACGTACTGGCCCTTGCGCCCTGAGGGAGAGATACCAGCAGATGGTTCTGTTGGAGGTCACTACACGTTGGAGGAGATCTGCGCTGTTGGGTCAGGAGGAGTGTACATCGGTGGGTAGAGCATAGAGGAAGAGACTGCGGGTTGACGGAGAATGTCAGGCGAAACGTCTCCCTACACCATGTTCTTCGGGGCGACTCTGCACATTGTACTGGGATGGTAAGTGTTACAAGCAATCGCGTCCTACTTCGGTCTCTTGACGAACTCTTCTTGTCTTTTGAAACCTTCATGTTGTTAACTCTTTCTCTGCAGTCTGTTCATGATATGGATTAATCGACAACCCTGGGTACCCGAGCTCATGTAAACCCAAATGTAAATCATAGACAACGACAAGACAAGAAATAGACAAGACAAGACAAGACAAGACAAGACAAGACAAGACAAAATTTCCTTAATGGATGACTTTGCTTCACTTCAATCCCACTAGATTCTGCTTCATTCAACACTCATGGCCATTCGACAAGCTGCAACTACCCTATCAGGTCCTCGTCAAACTCCCTGCGCGCCCCGCAAGCTGGCGTGCAACGAGTTGAGTGCAGACTTGAAGTTGATGTCCGTCTGATCCTTGAGAAGCTCCTCCACGATGTGCATGAGACGAGCAAGCGCCTTTGTCTGCCCCTCCCTTTGGTTGCCGTCCCCGTCCTCCTCCATCCTGCTAGCCGCGAACCTTGAGTATAGCTCGAGCCACTTGTTGCAGGCAGCGACGGCAGCGATCTGCACGTCACGGAGCTGCGGCCCGTTGACCTCAATGCAGAAGGAGAGACCGTCCATGACGGCACCACTGAGCGACTGCCACATCCCGAGGCTCTCCTCCTCCGACAACTTCTCCGCGATCCTGCGCATCATGCTCACTGCCGCCTGCTTCTCCTCGACCATCACCGAGTGACTGTAGTCTTGCAGCGCCCTGAGCAAGTCGGGAAGCATGGCGCTTGCAAGGTCAAAGTCGACAATCCATGCTGAGACGAGAGTCTCTAGCGCACAAGTCCTCAGCTCTGCGTAAGACTTGGTCTCCATCATAGCGTCGTAGTGCTGCTCCTCTTCCTCGCTTCTTCCCCCAGAGACCGTCTGCCGCACCTCCTCCTCCTTTCTCTCCTGCGGGTTCAGAATCACATCCTTCACTGCCGTGAGAACATCCTGCCAGATGTTCAGGCTGGTCTTCAGCGCCGTGAGCATTCTTGTGCAAGCTCGCAAAGCCTCCAGCCGATATGCTCGCTTCTTTCTCATGCACTCCGCGATCAAGACACGGGCAACATGCGTCCGAGAGAGATCGCCAGCTCCCTCGCCCTCCTTGCTCCATCCCTCCAGCTGGAGCTCAGATCCGTCCCCTCCCTGCTTATCCACGAACAAGTCGATGGCTACGACCGAAGCAGCAATGGCATGCAGCACATTCTCTTTCCCGTCCCAGATCCTCGCTGCCTGGATGTTCTGCACGAGGATTGGGAGCAGCTTTCTCGCGCTCTGTGCCCTGGAGATGTCAGCGACTTGGGCGTGAGGGTTGGAGGACACAAGGAAGACGGAGGCCTTGGCCGTCATCTTCCTGAGCAGCCACGAGGAGGAGGCAAAGCAGAGCTCCACGAACTCGATGATCTCCTCCCCGTACATCCTCAACGCTGTGTGTAACGACCCAACGCTCTCCTCCCAGATCGTCAGGAATTGTGACCGAGATGCCTCGTCCTCGTCCTCCTTCCCCACGATCACCAGCGGAATCACTTTCTGCATGCTAACGCTCGAACTGTCTCTGGCCTGAAGTACCAGCTCCTTGAGAGCCACTCCGATCGTCGCTCGCAGCGCGGCATCGTCCATCCCCTTGTCCACGTACATCTTCCTCATGTTGAGAACGAACTCTTCGATGTTGTTCTCTTTCGACACGCCTGCCACCCTCGCTGCGGCACTTGCCATGGCCTGCCGAACTACCGTGCTGCACGAGAAGTGAATGATGGAGAGCAGGAGTTGTGAACGCATCTACCTGCGGTCGGAGAAGGCAGAGCACAGAGCTCTGAGCAACCTGCTAGAGTGCTTCCGGAGAACCGCTGGGACCTCCTGCTGGATGAGACAGAGTTGGCTCACAAACTTAGCGACGCCGCAGCGGGTGGGAAGGCCGACGCCATGCTGAATGACGTGGACGAGCTTCGGGATCGTTTCCTCGGCAGCCTCTCCGTTCATGTACCGCACGCACATGTCAAGCGTGTCTGCCATGGGAGAGTTGCGAGAGGCGGAGAGCCGTGCGCGCTCGACTGTCTGCTTGTCAACCAGTCAATGAATGAAGCGTGTGCGGTGAAGAGTGACCTCTCCAGCCACGTCGAATTTCTCCGCATTCAGTTGCAAGTATGTGTTCATCTACTCATCCATCATCCTCTCCTCCCTTGGAAGCATCCCCTCCCCTCCTTGCTCACCTGCGGCTCCAGCGAGGACAAGCTCTCCAGCAGCACCAGCGAGAGCTCGGGGATGAACGGGCGCAAACTTGTTCCAGCATGTTTGGTGAACTTGACCAGCTGGGAGATGCTCAATGCGCGAACTTCACTGGCCGAGCTGTTTGACACATCATAACTTGAGGAATGGAACAGAATGCACTGACCTTGAGATTCCTTCCTTGAGTAGGAACGGAAGGATCAGTCCCAACACCTGGACATCACGTACGTTTCAGCCTCAGGTCGTTGCATTGTAAAGAGAAATTTGGATATCGAGCGGTCATTGGTACAGGTTTAAAACCGCCGCAAAGTTCACAAAACAAATTTCACACTCAATCACACGAAGGAATCTCTCAGCTGATGCGCGCATCTACCTTGCCGGCGACGCTCTCGCCGCTCTGAGAGGGATCGGCGAGTCGGGAGGCAAGGCCGAAGACCGACCGGTTGAAGCTCGCTCCTGCTATCCTCACCGTCTCCTTCACGTCGTCCACGGCCCTCAAGCTCATGCGGTACATCTCCACCTACATCCCTCGTTCACTTTCTACCCAAGTCATAAGGGCACCAGACCAGATTCGTCTCGATCTGCTCGAACTTCCTTTTGGCAAGAATGTCCGCAAGTGCCAGACAAGACGCCTGCCGTACCCTCCACTAGATGGGTCTGAGATTCAGCAATTCGCAACGGCGATGGGTTGCAGCATGGTAGGTAGAGGAGGAGCAGGAGGAGGAATAGGACTAGGAAACAGCCACAGAAGTGAGGGCGAGAATACCAGACGAGAGCCAACAGAAGGAATGAGATCAGCCAGGATGTCTTGTAGATACGCTTCCTTGGCCTTCTCAGAATCCTCAACAACGACCAGCCAGAGGTTCGTCATCGCTTCTTGGATCTTCTCGTTGGGATCAAACTGGATGGTTGAATCAGCTCGTTCTGTAAATGCAGGATTATCCATCCTTTTCAACCTGGTATCTGTAGAGTTTGGGGATCAGCTTTGGAAGGTGCGGCTTCAGCCTGTCTGTTGCCTGATTGATAGTCATGGACATGGCAGATTCTCAGCATTGGTCACCTTGGATGCTATGGAGGAGAAGCCAAAAGCAGCTCCTCTCTTGGAGTTCCACATCTGAACAGAGAAATGGATAGGTGAGATCAACGGGTATGCGCAGAGGCATCGACAAGGCAAAAGCATCGACAAACAAGACTCGTATGCCCTGACCTTCTGATGTCCTGAAAGGTTGAGGAACCTGTAGATAAGCTCTGGCTGGAAGGAACCATGTGAGAGTTGAACAACAGGGCGAGGGAAGGAGTCAAAAATCAAATTCCGACCTGCCCCAACTCGTTTGCGACTGTACAAAGTTCCTTGTAGGTAGTCAAGCTGCCGGAGGCATCATCAAGGAGCCGAGGATCGAGAAGATAGGGGAAGCAGTGGATGAAAGTTCCACATCGGTGGAGATCAAGTGAGCGTCAGGTGTGCCAGGGGCAGAAAGGTGGACAGAAAGAACGCATCAAGTGAAGATACCTTCCTTCTCCCAGTGCCTTATCATCAATCTGTTGCAGTCAACTCTTTCATCTCCTTCGTACATCCCTTCCTCTCAACAGTACCTTGATCTGTCCCTCCTCAAAAATCGGATCGTCTGTCGAGTTGTTTGTCTACCAAGAAGCATAAAATTCAATTCAGAACACTCTGTAGAGGCAGACCGACCTGCTTCTGAGCTGTCTTCCCTCCCATCAGAGTCTTAGCGAGCGTCGAGACAAGCTCGTCCTTGACTTTGTCGTCTGTACACATGTCGTAGCAAAGCGCCAGTCCCTTCGACGCGATCTCCTGAACAACATCTGATCGCTCCTGTCCAAGGGGAAAGTGAGGAGAGGATGTTAGGAGGTGACGCCGACGGCAAGAGGAGGAGGTCGGGGCAGCGATTTGAACATCGCAACACAAGGATAGGAATGAGCCTCTGCATTGCAGACGATTCGACAAGATGCTGTACCTGTAGAAGGAGGGTAAAGGATTGTTGGATTTGCGAGAGGTGCTGTTGAACTGTTGGATGATCTGCACAATATCGCAATATACACAACAGCCAACAAGCTCCTGCTTCGCGGACCTGGAAACGGATACAACCAATCAAAAAAGTGCAACCACGAGAGGAAGGAAGGGAGGAAGGAAGAGAAAAAGGGAAGAAAGAGGCTAGACGTTGCATAGAAGGATATTGGCTTACATGCGCCTTTCCATCGGAGAGAACCTTCTGAAAGAGATGCTTCAAGATGTCTTGAAGGAGCTGAACGTCTGTCTCTTCGTTGCTGGACTTCCACCTTTTCATCTGTATCTCCGCATCTCCATTCTCATCCTGAAGGACAAAGGAGACGGAGAGAAGGAGAGAGTTGTCATGAATAGCTGGGAAGGTAGTTACAACTTCGTTACCTGATAGGCAGGAGGGTTCCTGAGCTGAGAGAGAAGGACCTCCGAAGTAAATTTCCTTCCACCTCCGCAGCAAGCAAGAGCCTCTCCAACACAGAGGTGGAACTCCTCCGACCGTTTGACGTCTGTCGTGCTGTACAGACTGGATCGGCAGCAATCTTCCAGCAATGTATTAATCGCACGCAATGCTGAGTTCAATCGCTCACCCAAGACCGCTGCCGTCCTGCTTGCTAGACAGATGCAACCTAGTGCAATCGCTGCTGCTTCGTTTTCATTCCCCTTCGTCTCTTTCCTCGCCGCCAGCTCGCCCAGAGTCCGCATCATCTGCATCATAGAAAACTCTTTCGACTTTTCATCTTCTGTTTTTGAAGCCTCAGACATGTCGACATCTTCTCCTTCTGTGCCCATGAGCCTGGCCAGGTTGATCTCCATGAAGATCACGGACATGGATCGACAGATAATACTGACCATCTGTTAGGCGACTGTGTCAGAGGGGAACAAGAGGAGAAGAGAAACAGCCAGGTGATACGGAGGAGGAGGAAGGGGAGCAGGGGCAGGAGCAGGCAAATTGGGAGGGGAGGAATACGATGAAGTTTGATAAGACACGAAAGATTCACGACGACAACTCTACCTGCGGGTTCGTGTCTTTCAAATGAGAGGAGAGAAATTTCAAACTTTGAAACAGAAAGTCCTTCGAGAGCTGCTCAACAAATTTGTCTCCACCCCTGCCCAATGCGTATCCGATCACGAGAACAGCTCCCATCCTCTTGTCCACTGGATTCTCATCGCCAGCACATGTCAGCATCTTCTTCATCACTTGCTCTGTCGCCTATCATGTCAGCTCTCTCCCTGCCGTCTTGTTCTCTTTCACCTGCCTCAGACGGGCTCAACCTTGCCACGAATTCACCATAGAGAGAAGAAGCGAGTTCACGAGTCTCCGACTTATGACAGAATACGAAAGACTGCAGGAGTATTGTGTAAGGTGAGAAGCTCCAGGAGTAAACGTAACTTTCCATCCTCGTTCTCCTTCCTCCTCCTGAACTCCCTCCTCCCCTCGTCTGCCCCTCACTATTTTTCTCGTCTGCTTTCACCTTAATGGGAACTTTTGCAAATTTCTATTCTCCTCCTCTCCCGTCCCTTCTTACAATCGTCTCATTTTTTTACCTCGAGCCACGGCAGTCTTCCAACATACTTGTTCGCAACTACATCTGGCCGTGCAGCGAGCAGGTCTATGAGCGCAATGAAGCAATCTCTTGCTCTCTCTGCCTCCCCCACGGCTCCTCGTTGGTCACTGCCAAGCGCACTGCTGAGGGCAACCTCGATGATAGAGTTGAATCTTTCCGCAGCTCGTGTCTGAAGTGAGATGTCAAAAGACCGTCGCCTCGTGGTTTGGTAGAATCATGGGGTGAACGGAGGATAAAAATGCTACAAAGAAATACTTGCCTTACTGTCTTGCATTGTATCTTTATCTCCTTCGCTCTTAAGTTGTGAAGGTTTCAAATAATCCGATCTTTGCATGCTTCCATTGAGCTTGCAGTGATGGACAAGGCATCGGTTGCAGAAAGAGACTACTGAAACTTTGACGATTGTGCTTGTTGACTCAAATGCCTGTCTCTGCTTGTCAAGGATGGGACAGGTAAAGGACCAGCAGGGCCTCACCTTGAACGGCTTGTCCTCGAAGAGATAGTCAAGGAATTCTTCGAGAGTCGGGTAACGCTGCTGCTCCTTCACCGCACGGAGCTCTTCTTGGATGCTGGAGATCAGGGACTCTGCCGTTCGGCTCGGCTCTGCGCTCCTTTCCAGAAGAATTCCCTTGAGGGCTTCTTCCCTCACCTCGATCTTCGCGTCGTCGACCCCGCTCAAGCAGATCAGCCGCGCTCTCACGTCATGGAATGGGAAGAGAACGCGTGCCCAGTAGACCGCAGAGAAGCGCGCCTGGATGGGTAGAGAGTTGAGATTGGGAAGAGAAAGAGAAACAAGGATGAAGTAGGAAGAAGGGAGAGAAGAGGAAAGACTGATTCCTCATGATTTCTACCTGATGGGTGGCGCTGGTAGCGGTATGGATGAGGAGTTGCATTATGCGATCTTTCCTCTGCTCGTCAATGTTCCTGTATGCGTTAACACTGCAAGTGCCTCAGGACAAGGAGGAAACGACAAATGAACTGACCTTAAGGACAATGCCTCTTGCACGGAAACGCGAATCTCCTGCTCGATCCTTGATCAACAGCAGCAGAAGAAGCAGCAAGAGCAGCAAGAGCAGCAAGAGCAGCAAGAGCAGCAAGAGCAGCAAGAGCAGCAAGAGCAGCGGTATCAAGACAAGCCACAGAATACGCATACAGCTCACCGGAGGTTCAGTGGAAAGGGCAAGGAAGAGATTTTCAGCAATAGATACATCTTCTGAGATCAACTTTGGAGCTCTGGAGGCAAGCTGGAGAAGGCACGGGAGGAAGCAAATAGGTACAGAGCGCCACAGGACGAGGACGAGATGAGAGAAGAGGAATAGGTCAGAGTCTTAACGAAACCAGGAGAAAGGCACAACCTGTCCAATGGCAGAATACGTGTATCCTCGTAGCTGTACAGTTGTGGCATCCTAGTGGAAATGAGATGATTGAGATGAGAACACTTTGGAGGAGAGGTCACCGTGCCAACGACGCTCGTCAGAAACTTTGTCAGGCCAGACAGCAAAACAGGAACAATCGGCTGTAAGAGATACGAGACGTCAGAACATCAGATTGATCCCATGAACTGGATCCAAAGGCCGGTAACTCTCACTGTTTCCGTTACCTGAAAGATGTCGTCTCTTGATTTTGCCATCGTCCAGATGCAAAGTTGCATCGTAGCCTGCGGGTACCCAAGTTGAGTCCTCTACTTGGTCCTTATCTGTGTTCCGATACCTGCTTCAACTTTGCTGTTGAGTCCTGGCCATACAAACCATTGAAAATTGCCTGAGAAAAATCAAAACAGATGAAAACAATCCTTATGTTACACTTGTATAGCTGAAGGGAATGAGTTTGCCGCAAGGACTGATCGGCAGAGGAAGGGAAGAACTGCACGACAAGCGATCAGCTAGTTGCTGAGCAATTATGCGAAGAAACGTCTCGTGGTGATTTGTAATGAGGAGAGAAAAAAAAGAATGGACAGAGGGACCGAAGAAGAGAATGAATGGAAGAGATGGGGCTGACAACGGAAGGCAGTGGGAGCAACAGGACTGAGAAACAAGACAAGAGTAAAGCACAAGGAGTTACAAGCACGAAGAGAGGGCAAGGGTAGAGTAATCAGAATCAGTACTCGAAACTCTCGTGGGAACGTCCACAGGTTTCCTGTCAATCGTCTTTGCATCAGACTTCTTCGTCCCTAGCAGAAGTTTGTACAAGTCCTGCAGTCATGTGAGCACCCGGTGAGATAGAGAAGAAGAGAAGAAAAATAACCTTCACAAGATCTGGATCTTCAAAGTTCGATCTCTGAGATTTTGCTCGCAGTAGCTCCTCACCCATTCTTCGCACATCTGATGCAATAGTTGGTGTCCATAAGGCATCGCGAAAGGCAATCTACCATGGTGAGAACCGCACGTGGCTACGACAGCCAGCGAGAGCATCTTCTCGTGCGGAATTATCTTCTCCTGCGTGACAAATCAGGGATAGCAGATATCACTGCATATCAGCGAGAGGAACCAATTGAAGCAGAGCTTGCAGGATTGGAACCTTGCGATCCATCAAGTACTTTTCCTTCTCCTTCCAGCAGCATTCAGAGGTTGCTATCAATTTTCCATCATCATCACCTGTTTGGATTGAATTTTGCTCGTGATGAAAGTCAAAGATCCTTCGGAGAGCCCAGGAGGGCATTCGACGACAGGAGTGGAATCGCTTGCCGTCGCCTCTTTGCTCGCTTTCATAGGGAGATACAGGAGAACATCCAGCAAAAAGTTGCGGAAAACATCAACATCATCCTTTCCAACGTTTGAGCTGATCTCCTCCCATGAAGATCCGGTTTTGCTTCCAACCTGGAACATTGAGCTCAATCACAAGCTGATCTCCCGAAGAAGGGGCGTTACAAGTTCGATGGCAGATAGGATCATCTGTAGAAATAAAACTTGATGCCTGCACAGAATGAGCCGGAAGATGTATAAAAGTTAGGCATCACTGTTCGATCTGTTTGCTGATTCCTGGGAGAAGCTTGAGAACCATTTGAGCTTGAGTGGAGGCATCAGCACGCTTTTGACAGCAAGGACAGGAGAGGGCGACGCAAAGCATCAAAGTTAGAATCATCTTTTACATAGAAGCAGGCTCACTGTCCAGCCGAGCTCGATGAAGAACAAGGCAATGTTCTTTTCGTATGCCGACGACTCGGGTTGTGAAAACACCTGGTAAGTGAGAGATCAACGGTCACCAACAGGACTCGTCTTCCTCCACCTCAAGAAGAGACGCGACAGGAAGCTTGACAGACGAGGACTTGAGCCTGTTGGTCAAGTTCTTGACGACTTCAAGCGCCTTGGGTCTTGTTGCTTCTGCTCGGAGGTGGAACAGGACCCGGCATATCATCTGCACACGCATTCATGCATGGCGCAGAGTGCGAACACAACAGGACATTCACCTTCTCCGTGATAGAAGCAAGTTGGTCATCCTCTCGCGCTGGACCAGCACAAATGAGATGTACAAACTCGTGCTCCAGATCGCAATACCATCAATAAGTGCCCAAGTGCACGACTCGAGGAATTTAATGGCATTGGCGGCGCTTTCGGCCTTGGATGAGGTATCAGCATGGGGTTTTGAGCTTCACCGAGACAGTTTAAGGGAAGACATGAACTCGTGGGATAAGATAAGACCACCGAGAAGGAAGAAACAGGAAGAAACAGGGAAGTTCAAACACAACCAAAGTTCGCAAGTGGGCATGATTCCACTGCGTTGACGTGCATGTGCACAAGAGGCAGTCAAACGGACGAGGACGAGGACGAGGACATACGGAGGGTGAAGGGTGATGATTCGGGGAGGGAGGTTGAGGGCGACAAGGAGGATGAGGAGGCGCTGCCATGAGACGAGTTTGTGGTTACCGCCATTGCCAGGATTTTGTGTTCCTAGTGCCAGCAGGGCAGACAAAGGCATATAGTGGGAAGGTTCTAATTACAAGACGATGTCTTTTCTCGCAGTGCATGACTGAGGGGGGCGCGCAGGATGGTGGACCCAGTGGACACGGTACGGTACCAGGTACGGTACTGCCGGTACCGATTGTAGTACACTAAGTTGCTGTATCATGAATAGCGATATTTCAACTTAGTAGCAGGCTAGTACATCTCAACAGTACCGTGTACAGTCTGCAGTACCTGCTACGGTAGTACTGCCCTTGCCCCGCTGCCCCGGTACAAGTTGAGCTCCCACCAAAACCATTTCCTAGCTGCCTCATCACCGGTGATACTCTTGTATCGACCGACGGGTCCCTAGTTTATGAGTACCCCTACCCTATCATCTAGACGATAGAACCTACCCATTTAACGCACTGGTATGGACCCTACCCCCACTGAGCAGATCGATCAAGTCACCAACTGTACCACCGAAGTGAGCCCCTAGCTAGCAGATTGACGGCCCCACTGGCGTACATCTTACCGCAGCATCGCTGTTCGCATCCTTCTGAAATGCCATGGGCTGATCGCCATGAGCCTCTCAAAGACGAACCAGATGATGACAAGAGATCTTTGAAGAAGAACAGACGACAAGAAGGTGAGTAAACGTTTGCTCTCTAATTGACATGTCGTTGACTCACGAATATCGATTTTAGAACCATATGCTGATACCCCATCCCACGAACACAGAAGGACCACCCATGTCAAGAGACAGAAAAGTGAGTTGTATGTTTCCAGTCCAGAATGTTCAAGAAGTGCACAACGCCAGAACGACAAAGGGGCATCGAGAAACAACATGGCAGCTTCCATCATCAAGCGTGAATCCGTACAATCAGATCATGCCGTCTCAGCTTTCAGCTGGTCTAGACCATCTCTCGGCCAAGCAGTGGAAGACTATTCTGAGAGTGAGAGTGAAGAACCTGACTCACTATCGGGGCTACTCGAGATGAAATTGTCTGGAGATGAAGACAAGATCCGATCGAGTATATCTAACATCTTGCAACAGTTGTCTGAAAGCCTCCTCCCTGACAAGGCCGCGCTGGAGGGAAAACGCAATGTGGTGATTGTCGGAGTCACGGGGAGCGGAAAGAGCACACTCACAAACAGCTTGGCTGGATGTCAACTCAGACTTGTGACTGAAGAAGACACTCACATTGATATGATGAACGCTGGAAGCTCTCTCTGTGTTGTTCCTGTAAGCGAAGGCGGGCCGATGGATTCAGTCACTGATATCGGATTCAAGTTCAACACCTCAGAAACGCAGCTGCTGCATCCTATCGTTCTCAATGGAATTCCGATCACGTTGTGGGATGCTCCTGGTTTTGAGGACACAAACGGATCCGAAGTGAACATTGCCAACGCTGTTAATCTCTGCAAACTGCTCACATGGTCTAGAGGAGGAGGACTAGCGATGGTCCTGGTTCTCGATGCAAAATCACTGTTTTCAAGTCGAGGATCCATCATCAAGGACACGATTAAGGTTTTGCTGAAACTTTTCGGAGAGGAGCGATGGGTGCAAGCCGACATTAAAAGCATCTTATGCTGCGTGACCAAGGCAGCTTCAGAACTCAAGCCTCTCCATGTTCTTAGGAACTGTCTTGTCAATATGATGAAAGATGCGGGGTTGCATCTTGATGGAAACCAAGACATCATTCAGATCTACGACCCTCTCAACCGACATCCCGAAGGAATGTCGCGTGAAGCCTTGATCAACAGGCTGTTAAACATGCCACCTGTCAGTGTGCGAGAAGACGTGTTCCGACCTCCTTTGAACCAAGACGATATCTACCTCCTGTCAAGAATCGGTTTCGTCTTTCGCTATGATATCTCCAAGGCTCTGCGTGCTGGAGATCTAGCGGAAGTGATGAATCTCCTCGACAAGCTGAAAAACTTTCAAGTCATCAAGACTCCAGTGATAGACGAGAGCATGGACAATATAACCAAGCAGATCAAGGACATCTTTCACATGTGGGAATTAGCCATCAACTCATGGAAAACAGACTTTTCAAGAAAAGCAAGGCGCTGTCTTAGAAAGTATCTCATCATTATGGAAAAAGCCAAGGAGCTTGAGGGTGCAATGGAGGGTTTGACTGGCCTCAGAGCTTGTTTTGCGAGATCTGAGTCGCAAATACGACAAGAGGAAATGAACCAGCAGAAAAGAGAGCAGACCCAGGTGAGATTTGACCTCGAGACTTGTTTCCTGCAAGTTAAATCTCATGTCTGCGACTTGGCTCAAAAGCAACCGAACAAGTTCTATCCGCGAGAATCAGATACTACATTGGAGACATTCTTAGATGAATTCTCGAGTTTTCCACAATGTCAAACCTTGTCAAATCACTTGGAGGAGGCCAAAAAGCTGCAAGCGATGAGGCAAAGCAAGAGGTATTTCTTGTTTGGCGATCAGCTTCCCCTAGACGGGATCATTGGGACGTTTTCACAAAACATTGTCTCTCTGTTCAAAGAGCAAGTTGAGGATTGCAGGAAAGTCACTCTAGCTCGAAACTTTGACATCGCGCTGAGGGCCCTACGAGACGAGGCCTTGCAGGTGGTAGAGAGGGAGTTCGACATCTTCAGTGACAAAACGTTGGAGGTCCAAGATACTCCTCAGGTCAAATCTCTCTGAAAATTGCTGAAATATGATTAGAGTAACTCTTCAATTGGCAGGTCAAGGCATTCCAAACCCTGGGAGTTTGGGAAATTCTGTCCGTATTTCAATCTGAATATCCTGAACTGCATGACGAAAAATCCAGAGAATTACAGAAAATTTACAAGAAAATCTATCTGAAGGCGGTGAAGCAAAAACTGAACAAAATCGAAGAAAGGTTGGAGGAGTATTACAACAAGTTCTACACTTCAGAGCAACAAGATCTCCACCAAAAAGAGACCGCTCTTGTTCCAGAAGAAAATTTTCCAGAATATTTGCACAACAAAATGTCCATGGATTCGATGTACAGTACATCATGGCAATTTATCGAAACGAAAAGTGATTTGCAGGATGGAAGATCGTTACAGCAATCCTTGAAGCAACGTGAGAAAACAATGATCAGAGATCTCTGTTCTGTTGCCCAAGGCTGTGTTGCCAAGCTTAACAGACAGAAAGCTGATATAGATGAACGAGTTGCAGCAAATATTGAGAAACTCAAACGAGATTCTCAAGAGATCGTGAAATCTTCGTTTGAAGCAATCATCAATATTCTTCACTATCCCATGGACTTGAAGGAATTGAAGAAACTTCGCGAGTGCAATTTCAATGGAAGTGTTGTGACAGAGCTGATGAGCCTGCTTGATCAGCTTGAGAGGATCGACAAGTCCAAGTACGACATCAGTATGAATGAAATCAACGAGTTCTTGGAAAAACTCTTTGCCCGCGCTACAGCACAACAAGTCATCTCAAAGATTACAGAAGGCTATGAAAAAGTCAAAGAGACCATGATGCTAGACATGCAGGAATGGGCTGAAAAGATCATGGCAAAGAAGTCAATGGTAGAGAAGGAGCTCGTCAAAGGTGTGGTCAAGCATGACCAAAAGATGAGCACGCTGAACAAACTTAGATATATTCCTGGCATTACTGTTGAGATCAAGAAGTTGACCGGCTTGAAGACAGAGCTTACTTCAAAGTTGATAGAAGCGGCTGAATCATTTCTGAAAGAGCAAAAGAGTGGTCGCAGGCTGCAAAGATTTGAATTTAGCTCAATCATGGAAAGGCTGAAATCCTCTCAGTCTGAAATTGTTGCAGACCGTTTTGCTTATATTCTTAGCAATCCACCAAGGCTTGGAGATTTGAGCTGCTTGAAGCAATATGGCTTTTCTCAAACTCCCGTCAGTCAACTGAGGGAATTACTACAAGGACTCAAATCCAAAGACTCTCAACTATACGACGACATCTTTGAAGAGGTCAACGAATTCTTGCAGAATTTGACAGCAAATTCCAAGATTCAAGAAATTCGATGCAAAATGCAGCAGGAGCTGAAGAATTTTGAACAAGAATTTCAGAAGGACAAGGGAAACATTGCTCGTGAGATCCTGAGATCAGGCGATGACTATCTTGAACAACTCCTACATCACAAGACGTCTGCGGTGTATGCCGAGTGCAAGAAAGAATTAAAAAAGCTTGCACAAGTGCCGACAGGCAAAGTCATCGACGAATTTGATAAAATGAGGGAGAACATGGTCTCAAAGATCAAAGATGACATTCAACGTTTTCAGACCACTGTGCTCCGTCAGCAAGAAAAAGCCGAGCAAGACTTTAGACTCTTGATCAAAGAGATTGAGGATTCTGACATGGAGAAACAACATCGTGAGCTCCTCTGCGAATTCACGTTCGACGTTGATTGCATTGATAAGCTCGCGAGTGTCGGTATTGATAACAACACCATCTCTAGAATCCGTCACAACCTGGAACATTGTAAGGAGAATTGGCCATGCATGTTCGATTCAAGGATCCAGGAGCTGCAACTTGCAGTTGGCAGGATGCAAGAAAGAGCGAAGAAACAATGCGAAAGGGAGGCGATGCAACGGCTCGTGCAGAGAATCAGTATGCTTGTAGGTGGTCTCGCAAACCACAACCGCAACGATCAGGAGGAGCTTGTCCATGCTATCGAGCAGCTCAGAGATACTCAAGGGGCAATGTCAGATCTGTATCGTGATTGTATCTTACATCTGCAGCCTCACCTTCAGTCTTTGCAATCCCCGCAGATTATCGAAGATTTCATATCAGGCAACAAGCTTCTTCCGCTGGTAGATCGTTTCAGCATGTTAGAGTTTCTTCAAGTCCGCCTCAAAGAACATAACATACACCTGGAGCTTGATGGACTGAGGAAGTGTGTAAAGGACTGGATCAGCAAAAAAATTGAAGACGTCAAAGAAGAAATTCATCGTGACATCAAAGACGAAAGGTTTCTGGAATTCAATGAACTCAGACATTTCTGCAAAGTCTTTTCTACTTTAAAGCTCAAGTTCCCAGAGATAGAGGAACCCAAGCAGAGATTTGTCACCGAAGCCCAACAGCGAATAACCGATATCATACAGCATTTCAGAAAGAGCTTGGAAAATTCTGCAAAGATCTCAGCGAAGAGAAGAGAATCCGAGAAGATATTAGCCAAGCTCTTGATCAAGAGCTGTGGTGTTTGTTCAGAATTGAATTTGATTGAAGACTTCAAGACCTTTGTCACAGATGAAATTCTGAAACATTTGAAAGGTGACGATCTTTACCATTTAGGAGTTTTACTCAAGGAATATGCCAACGCCGAAAACAGTCGATTGTCATCTGTGGCTGAACAAGCTCAATTCATTCTCTCTACATTTCCTCAGTTTGAAATATTCAGCGTTGAGATGTTCAATGAGAAGGCAGGGGCTGTCAGATTTGGCATGGCCCTCGTGAACTTGAAATGTGAACCTGCAAACTCAAACAATAACAAGCTCATGAATTGTTACAAAGAGTTCAAGGATACCTACGATAAGATCGTGAATAGGGTGATCAGCAACAGAGACGATTACAGCAAGAAGAAGTCAAGTATACTTGAAGAGATCGACTCTCTTGCAAACCAACTCAAATCCAACGCAACACGTTTATCAAAAGTCCCAAAAGATTTCGGACGATTCCTAGGTCTGATTTGCGGTCACTGGACATTTTTGTCGATTCCTGCTGATCAGATTGGAGTGGAGAAGAACAAAGTCCGTCAGCCTCACAGCGCTCAGATCCTCGGCATCCTCAGACTCCTCGGCCTAGATCAGAGCAGCTTGGGCAATCATCTGATTCAGATCAACACAGGAGAAGGAAAGTCCTTGGCCCTGGGTTTTACAGCAATCGTGCTGGCAAAATTGGGCTTTCGAGTTGACGTGGTCTGTTATAGTGAATATTTGTCGAAGAGAGACGAACAGGCTTTTGAAGCAATCTTTAACGAGCTAAATGTGAAAGAACATGTCAGCTATTCCAACTTCGACATCTTGTCATCGAAGATAATGAAATCTTCTCTCTTTCCAACTGAATTCGCAGACATGAGGCGAATTTATCATGAGATTCTTTGCCATCAAAGTAGTATTCAAGGCAGGTTACACCAGTGTATGAATCTCCTACCCATTCTAAAGACTCAGAGCTCTAAGAGCAGGACATCATCTAGTCAACGCGAATCAATCTTGCTCATGGACGAGGTCGACGTGTTCTTTAGTGAGAATTTCTATGGAAAGCTGTACAGGCCGCAACAAGATCTTTTCTTACCTAGCATGACAGATCATCCGAGCTATCCTATCATCGACTACATGTGGCAACAACGGTATCATCTAAAGAACTCATCCAGTATCATCAAAGGACTCTTGAGTCGCCAAGAGACAAAAGATTTGCAGCTAGTGTTTCCCTTTCTCACAACCAGAATGCTCGAAGTTGAGTTTGAGAAGATGCTTAATGCTCTCGAACTGTTTGCGTCGGATTCTGGTCTAGATGTACCAGACTTGCCACAACACGTCGTTGACAAGAACAAGCAGCAGATAGGTTATATCGATCCCGTCAGCGGTGTCCCCAACTTTGCTGCCACCCTTGGGTATGTGACGACTTTCACGTATCTGCACTGTGTCCACAATACAAAAGAGCTGCAGTTGGACAAAGTTATGCGTTTCCTCCATATCTCCCCAGTATGTGGCGAGCTGCTCTACTCTCAGATTCCAAAGTGCTATGCAGCCTGTCTGGGAATGACGGGAACTTTGGACTGCTTGACAAGTGCTCAGACCAAGCTGCTTGAAGAATACAAATTTCAGAACAAGACGTTTCTGCCCTCCACCTTTCAGAAGAAGCCAGCACAACAGGAAACGATGGAAGTTGTCGTCGGAGAGTGGAACGATTTCTTCCTGCAAGTCCGTCGAGACATTGAACAAAAGCTGATTTCTGGAAGAGCCATACTTGTGATTTTCAAAGACATCAACTCTCTGCGAAGATTTGCTGAAGAATTGAACAAACAAAAACCAAACATCAACCAGTATCACGGGTTCCTCGAGCTCTTGGACGAGATGAGCCCCGCTGAGCGACAATCGAACATTCAAAAGGCCATCCGGCCCTTCACCGTAACTCTCATGACAAGGGCCTACGGCAGAGGGACTGACTTTGTTTGCTTTGACAAAGCACTTGTCAAATACGGAGGCGTGCACGTTTTGACAACTTTTCTTCCTGAGGATGAGTCAGAAGAAAAGCAGATCTTCGGTCGGACATGCAGGCAAGATGACCCAGGCTCTACCAAGATCATCCTGTTCGAAGACGAGCTCGGGTACTTAGAGGCCTCCAACGTCGACAAGGAATCCACAGGCTTGGACTGGACGGAATATCTCAAGAAAAAGAGGGCAAAAGCCTTGGCCGACAAATACGAGTTGTTAGGGAAAAGACACTCCGAAGGAATAGAAAAACACAACAGAACACTCAGAATAGCCGAGTATGTGAAACAGAAGAACTTCGTAGAGGCAAGAAAGCTGCTGGAGGAAACATCCGAAGAGTCGGTGTTGGTTGATCCAGGAAGTATGAGGAAGAAGCCAGAGTATCACCATTCCATTCTTGTACTTGATCAATCTGGATCAATGTGTGGACAGCAATGGATTGATCTCAAGAATGCAGTTGACAAGTTTGTTGAGATCATGAAGGATCATAGCAACAAAAACATTATCTCTATCATTGTGTTCAACCGTTCCTTTCAAATCGCATGTCAAAGAATGTCAGTGGACAGCAATCCTCATGATTGCTTAAACAACATCAATCCAGGTGGGGGGACCTCGTTTGCACAAGGCTTGCAAGGTGCTTTGCACGTGTTAGAAGATTCAGATGTCAAGGCCTATCACAACTTCCTGTTGTTCATGTCCGATGGTCAAAGCAACGACGGAGAAAGGGAGATGAAGGTATCAAGTGAACAATCTGCTCATTCATAACTCTTCTGCTAACTTCTTCCCTCAGACAATCGCTGATGAGTACAGAGAGCATCTCAAGGTTCATACCCTTGCCTTTGGACAAGGTGCACAGACAGACAAGCTGTCTGCGCTGGCTGTGCAAGGAGGGGGCACACTACTGCAAGCTGTAAGTTTCAGGATTGAAATTGCTGATCCCTGACTCCTGTAACAGTTCGAGGGCCTGCAGCTAGTGGAGACTTTCAAACAAGTTGCGTACAGCCTTACGCATCGAGAGGTTTGAACGAGCAAAGGGACAAGCGCAACTCTGCTAGAGCAGACATGGGAGATGTCTGGAACGAGAGGATGAGCAGGGCTTGCTCTCAACATCCAGTGGAACAAGAGGAGACGACGAAGATGTCGATGATTTGAAATGAATTGAAATATTTTCAGTGATCTTGTGATGATGAATACTTGACTTCATGTTGGTTTCCTCTTTGCATTTCAATATTCCCTCAACTGATCTGTCTCTTATGCCCCAGCTGGGCTCCTGCTCTTAATCCTGCTGCTTTTTAAAGCTGCAATGCTGCTGGGGTGGTGGTTTTGGGGGCTTCTCTTCCCTCTCTGCCTTCTGGTTCGTCCTCTGCCCGCTGCTGCTGCTGCTTCCCTCGGATGGACTGCCCCACGACGTCAAGATGGCGAAGGAACGAGGAAATGTGCTCGGTCAAGAGGGCATCAGCTTCTGTGGTAGAAGCAAGGGGATCAACATGGCATCCTCTGGTTAGACAAGCACAGATCCACCCACTCGCTCCATGTCGCGATACCATCAATGAAGCCTGTGGGAGAAGTCTGAATCTGAGTTGCTGTCCTACGAAAGCCTACTTTACATACGATTCAACGACATGTAAACACTCGAGTACACTCGAGTACTCACGTGCTAGAGCTAGAGCTAGAGCTAGAGTCGCTACATGATTACACCCGATGTGGCTGCTATCGCTCTGCTCCCACCCTCCGGCCCTTGGCCCAGATAATGTTGAGTAGGATCGCCCAGATCACACAGAGAATGAGGCGCATCCAGAAGGGCAGCTCGAGCACCCGCACGATCGAGCTCAGCGCAGCGTCCTTGACAGCCTGTAGCCGGTTGTGAAACTTTGAAATCCTCATCTTCCTGACGAGCATCAGCAGGTCCTTGGACCTGTACGTGTTCTCCTGCTGAACCTCGTACTTGAGCTGGTAGTTGGACACTGTCTCCCAAAGCTCGGTCAGCTCCTGGTGGTTCTTGACGTTGACCAACCTGAGCTGTGAGCGAGCGCAAGTCACTTCTCTCACTCAGCACGCGATCACAGTACCTTCTCTATCCCAGCCTTGAGATACTCGCTCGTCTCGTGCTTCGCGTTCAGCAGGGCCTTCACCTCCTCCACGCGCTGCCTCGCCTCGGCAATGGATTTCATGGCGACCTCCCGCTTCCTGGCGATGATCTCGAACATCCTCAGTGCCGCATCGTGTCTCTCCCGCTTCCTCGCTTCCAACTTGGAAACTTCTTCCTCCAGCTTCGACAGAGTCCCTTTGATCGTCGCCATCCTGATCCGCATCTCGTGCTCGTCCACGTCCTCCCCACCTGGCGACTCCTCGTCGTTCCTCGAGTCTGATCCTCGAGTGCTGCCGAGGACCCATGGTCGGACTGCTGGCCTCTTTCTCGGGCCGTTCTTGCTGCTGGAGTACATGCGCTCCAGAGCTTTCAGATTGCTGCCAGTCCGCGAGTCCGCGTCGTCCGCCATGTCATGTCTGATCGACTCGTAACGCTCCTTCCAATCGACCGAGATGCTCCGATTGTGAACATACTCAGCCATGTCTGCATCCAGCGAGTCCTCGAGCGAGTCCTCGGCACCCTTGCGATGCGGCATCATGAGGCGGACTGGATCTATGCTCCCTCGTGGTTGCGAGAATAGACAGCAAAAGGAATGTTTGAGCGCCCTCCTCCTGTCAGTCCTCCATACTATCTCATGCTCTCCTCCTCTCCTTCCTCCTCTCCTCTCTCCTCCAACCTCTCTGCCTCTCCTTCTCTCCTCTCGTTCTTCTCCATTCCACTCCGCCACAGCTACCAAACCGTTACCAGTACGTTGAGGACCGAAAACCCTGAGGGTGTAGATTGGAATGAAGGTGAGCGGGGAGATGGAGTGGAGTGTTGTGGGGAGAGGAGAGAGGGAAGGAGAGGGAAGGAGAGGGAAGGAGAGGGAAGGAGAGGAGGAGAGAGGAGGAGAGGAGGAGAGGCAGAGGCAGTGTAGAAGGTAGCGAGCGGCCTAGGACTGTTCAAGTTCACTCGCTGAGAGATTGAGCAGGAGATCAGACCCGTGTGCAAAACTTGCGCAGACTTGTGCTCAGGACGACGTTGATGCATGCATGCCTGCCTTGAGGCTACTTGGTCGGGCATGGCTTGTCGGGAGCGACGATCTCGTTCTCCCAGCAGCCATTGGTTCCTTCCTCCGCGCCTGTTTGCTCGGCACCCTGATAGCTTTCCACTACACCCTGTCAGGGGACATCTCGTGCTCCTCAGACTGGTGCCCTGCCGTCTTTGTGGAGCGATGCATCGATCTCTACGTGTACGGCATCATCCTCCTCATGGGCGCGACATGCTTCCTCGAGGCTCTCATCGCTATCTCCTCCTCCAAGGGCAGGATCATGGAAGAGCGATCGAGAAGGCCCGTCAGCACTCTCGTGCTCGTGCATGTCCTCGTCTCGCTCCTCGAAGCTGCCTGGACGGCATGGGCCGCGATCGTCTTCCTGTCCCCAAGTTTGGAGTGCAAGGGCGACTCGCCGGAGCATGAGCGTGAGGGAGAAGCATTCTTGCGCATGATAGTCTGGATATCGATAGCCACCATAGGATGGATGTGTGCTGGCGTCTTGTTCGCCTTCGATCTTTCTGGCCATGTCGATGTGGCTGACATCGACAAGCTGCACAGGTAGCACTTTCTCTCACTCCTCGCCGCTGATGCTTCTGCTTTCATCAGGCACTGGGAGAGGAGGTGCAACTTTCTCTGTTGCCTGATGCCGAGGGAAGACGATCGTGAGATCGCCCTCCGGTCTCTCGTCAAGTCGCTCTCGTCCTGGTTCGCTGGATTGGACTTGGTGCCTTCCGACATCTTCGCCGCGCTGCTGCTTCTCAACTTGTGGTCAACAGTGAGCGATACTTCATGTCTCGACGACATCTACGGTCAGTTCGAGAGGACAGAGAGCAGCGCGCACAAGGATGAGAACAACAAACACGTAGGCCCAGCGACCCTGCTCGATCACCATGAAGACGTTGACAACCGTTCGAAGATCGAGGAGGGTGTAAGTGAGGATAGTTTTTCATCGCAGGCAGGAGCAGAAACTGAGGGGATCACTGGAGGAGATTCGGTCGATGGAGAAGTGGAGGAGCATCACTCAGCGAATGCCGGAGATATAAGTCTGCATTCCTTCGACTCCCCCGGTTTCCTTTCCGCTCTCATGACTGCGACTGTCAGCAGCATCGCGCTCGGGTCAAACTCGTCGGCAGGCGACTCGCAAAGTCAAGGATCCAACGAGCCATCGGCGACAGTCTCTGCCCCTGACATGTCGAGGTCCCCAGCAGAGCTTCCTGAAGCGATTCAGCCATCATCACGAGAGCCGCCAAGCAGGCAGAGCGAGGATGTGGATGCTGGTAGGCATGAGACAGCGATAGAGATCTTGAGGAGAGCGGAGCTGTACATCCCGTATGCGATCGCATGTTATGGAATGATGCTTCAAGTATGGCGATGCTGCTCAAACTGCTGCGATGGGTTCTGCTGGATCCTTCAGAACATTCTGTGCTGCACGTGCTTGTCGAGGTCATCTGGGGATGGATGGGTGGACAAGAAAGCTCTGGAGCGGGAGGCACAGGAAAGAGACTACCACATCATTCTTGAGGCGCCGGCCGATGCCTTCAGTCCTGCCTTCTTCCTTGTGGCAGACTTGTCAGTGTCTCGCGTGTTGTACCCTGAGTGACTGAGTGGTTGCAGGACGCTCAAGTCGGTGGTCCTTGCGATCAGAGGAACCTTTTCCATCTCCGACACGCTGACCGATGGCACAGCACACTGCTGCCTCCTGCCTGCCCGAGTCAGAGAGTTTGTGCAAGGAGTTCTCAGGTTGGGGGCCGAGCATCGAGGTGGGGAAGAGCTGGCTGATGAGCAGGTTGAGTTCGAGTCGAACGGGCCCTACGGCCATGCTGGGATGGTGCAGGCGGCGGAGAGGCTCAGGAACCTCCTGCATGACTCCAACTTCCTCCCCCTCCTCCTCTCCGAAGACCACGTTTCACATGAACTCGTCAAGAGCGGGATCGAGATCCCCTCCTGCCGCGGTTTCCGGCTGGTGATAGACTCTGACTAGCGCTGTGAGGCAGCTCGTGACTAGAAGACGTCGCAGGTTGTTGTTGGGCACTCGCTTGGAGCAGGGGTTGCGAGCATCCTGTCTCTGATGCTCCGGTCCGAGGAGCTCCCAGTGTATCAAGACATGGAGTGCTTCGCTCTCTCCTGCCCTCCTGTGCTCTCCCGGTCCGCCGCAGAGAGCTGCGAGCCCTTCATCACGACGGTAGCTCCTCCTTTCGCCCCTTCGCTCGCCCTGAGCGCCACGAAGATCGCAGTTGGCGAGGACATGATCTCTCGAATGTCTCTGCGGAGCCTGCAGCTGTTACGCACCAGGGCGCTGGAGCTGCTGATCCTCTGCAGACGACCCAAGTGGCAGGTTACCGACCTGAAGGACCTCTGTGCAAGCTTGCCTGACAGCCAACCAAGGTTTTGTGGTTCTTGGGGCCATGGCGGTGGGTGTCAGGCGTCAACCCCTCCCTGCTGTCCTACTTTTTCTACGATCCTTCATCAAGGTGGCGAACCTTGGACAACCTACCTACCCTATGTCGCTGACCTTCTCCAAGGGAGGGTCATGATGCCCTCAAGAGCAAGCACGAGATCTTCGCATGCGGGCCGATACAGCCCGCGCTCAGGTCAGGACGAAGAGCATTCGTCTCGACGACTCTCTCCTCCTCCCCTGACTGGCACCGCAGGCTCCCAGGCCGCGCGTTCCTCTTCGAGACGGACAAGAGCCACTCGATGCCGATGCTGAGAAGGATGCATCATACGGAGATGGAGGCAGAGACATCTTGGACTTGCGGGCACCAGGACTGACTTGCGACATTTCTAACAGGAGATCGTCATCTCCACAAGAATGATGATACACCATCTCCCTGATCTGCTCCAACGTCAGCTAAGAAGGGTAACAGATGGCATGAGCGACATCGAGCTGATCAACCCGTGTCTTGCAGCTCTTAGAGCACGTGGACAACGACGGCAGCAATCCAAGAGCCTCGAAAGCGAGTTCAAGCTCAAGGGCAAGGAAGGGGAGCCCGGATACTCTGCGAGCACCTCTACTTTACGATTGATGTAACATACTCCTTACGAGCCTCCTGTCACTCGATCTCACTGAGTCTGCTCGACGACATTCAACTCGATGCTACTGGAGGAGTCGCATCCACATCCAGGGGCGCGTCCCCAGGGCGGTTGTTGAGGCAAGCATCGAACCAGTAGTTGGTTGGTCCCCACCATCCGTCCACGTTCACTCCCAGGCTCTGCGAGCATCCGAGTCAGGTTGATAGGCAGCGGCAAGTCAGTGAAGCCTGGCACCTCGAGGCGCCCCCCATGCTCCCGCTCGTCTGGTTGATCGCAGTTGTCACCAGCGGGCACCCAGTCGTCCAACATCTGAAGTGACACTGGCAAGTCATCGAGCAGCACTTGTCCGATCAAACTTAAGCCTTCAACGCTAGTACCTGCGCTCGTCGGAAGAGAGCGAACATCCTCTCACGGTCCTTGGACAGTCGTTCCTCTCCGACTCTTCTCTCAGTTTGACTAGCTATCAAGATACCAGTGGGACCAGTGTCCCGTGACGAGAGTCTCCCGGTCCGATCCCCCCGGGCCCGGGGCCCGGGCCCGGTCGGCGGGCGCGGGGGCCCCACGCCGGGCACGGGCACGATCCGAGTCATCAGCGGCCACTCAGACACTCGGCGCGCGCCCGGACGCCGGTAACGTTATTTTGTCAGAATTAATGTTAAAAAGCTGCTCATCCGCCGGTTTCATTGTCGGGCATTCATTGGCAGCCTTCTCTGGGGGTGGGGTAGTGATGGGACGGGTCAAAATCATATCATTTTTGAGGTTGCATTACGGTATGAAATAGGGTAGGGTAGGATCAAATGTCTTCACGAGGGGGGTTGGGGGCTGGGCAGATCGCGGGCCTACTAGCCTCCATCCAGCCTGGAGAAATCGGGTTGGAAAAACGTGGAGATGGCAGGACGGGGAGAAGAGGAAGGGAGAAGAGACTCACGAGGAGAGCAGAGGATGCGGAAGTAGGATATGAAATAAGGAGGGAGCTAATCAAAGTAGAGCATATCTCTTAAGTCAGGACCTTTGTGCCTGCAGGTTCGCTTGCCAATATCTCGTGGAAGGTTGAACAACATCTCAGCAACGTCGCAAAGAAAACAGAATCCGACATAAGTGGACATCCAGAAATCAGTCTCAGCGCATTATTTCTCTTGGAAACACTTGGATCATGCTGCCACTCGATCGTGTGCCTCCTCCTGAGCGCAGTCTTGATCGCTTTCCACCACTTACCGCTCGCCTCCCCCCAGCTGTCCATCGACAACATGCCAGCGATGGATTGGTTAGCAGCACCCGCTTGCGCATTCTGGAAGAATCCTTGCAGGTGGAGGAGTGTGATGTTTGTTTGTACAACCAAGTGATCTGAAATGTTCTGCTGCAGGCACTTGAGATGGAAGACTGGAGGGTAGAGAGACTCCTGTCCGAGTACTCTCCTCAGGACGAAGGCCGCTATGCCGACAAGGTGAACAGCATGCAGGTGAGCAGGAGAGTGTTAGTTGCTCATGATGATGTTGACTGTGAAATCAAAGAGAAATTCCTTGCAGAGGTACAGCCATGAGCCGGCTGACACCCCCTACTCGTCTCCATACCTGAGCTACGCATACGGACTTCAGTCATCGGAATCCTTGCAGAACCATTCTCGAGGACCGAGCAGGACGATGTCGGAGTATTCGCATCGCACCGTACCCGGACATCGCAGACTTGACATGCTGCCCGAGGCTGATACCAAGCCCGTCGCCAAGAGATCGTCATTTTTCTTCTACGAAGCAACTTCGCTCTCCAACGAAGTGATGCTGCAGCGATCTCAGGCACAAACCAACGAAGCTGATTCCACCGCTAGTTTGCACTCGACAGTTCAGAATCCGAGCAAGCTTCCCACCAATGGAATCCCCGCAGCTCAGACCGAATCTTCTCCTCCTCACGTGAATCATCTAGACCAGAGCCTAGGGCTGCAGATGAATGACAACTGCTGGGAGAGTAGCGGCGACGAGTCTGAGTCAGCCTCCTCGGACTCTGCAATGAAGATGCTCGATCGCATGCTGGGTCAATACTTCATCCGGAGCGAGGAGTTCCAACAGCTCCTGGTTCCGGACTCTCAGACCGTCATCGAGTGGGAGGATTGGTGGGCAAAGATCGAGCGATCTGTGAGGAGAGAAATCAAGCCGGAGATGAAAGCAGTGTTTGAAGGTCGCTGTCGAGACTTGTACTCGCAGACCAAGACGCAGATCATGAGGATCTTTCATCTGTACGGAGATGAACAGGAGAAGATGGAAGTGCAGCAACTCGTGCATATTCTCTCTTCCTTGGATGACTATGTTATCAAGACTGTTGCTGCCATTGACTACGCAGGCAGTCACATCTCATGGCCCGAGTTTTGGTCTGCAACTGAAGGCAAGATCAAGACAACGATCAAGGAAAGCGTTCGAAGGAGCATCAAGAACGAGATGCACGTCAAGTTTGCTGAATGGAAGTACAGGTTCCATGACGTCTTCAAAAATGCAGACATCGAAGGCAGAGGAAGGGTAGCTGGGAGCTCATTTGTCGCTTCTTTGCTCGAGTCACCCTTCGGCAACCTTCTTCACATCTGATTCTCATCATTTCTCCCTCAACAATCCAAAGTCCAACTTAAAGCCTATTACTTTTAATACACGTTATTACAACATCAGATGGAAGATGCTTATATGTTAGCAAGTTCATCACTGATCATCCTGAGGTAAGAAACCTCCTGCGGACTTTCTGAGATCACATGCTCGTCGAGGTTCGGGAGCTCGCGGCAGTAGAGCTTGGACAAGTCCATCTGGGAAGGCTTCCCAAGTAGCTGCAATGTCTTGTGGTTTTGATACTCGCAAATAGCGTCATCTTCGAAAAGCCTCATGCAAAAGGTGTTGTCGTCGACATTCGCGAAAGGATCTTCAAAGTCTTGCTTAAACTGAAGCTCAGGGGAGCTCGTCTGAAAAGGCGTGTCTTTCTCAAACACAATCTCTGGCAACCCGTCCTCACTATCAGCCTGTTCACTTGGTGAGTCTGTTGAGGGCATTGACTTCGGCGCCCTGAACTTTCTATCATTCTTCTTCTGCACTCGCTGGTTCGTCTTGCGACCTTGTTTCTGAAAAGTTCCCAATGTCAGCCGACACAACGGGACAGTGAGATCATTTCCCGTACCTGGACCTTGGTCTGAGCCAGGCAGTCTCGGAGCGAAAAATCCATGTTGACATAAGGAGTCATCAATCTCGGCCTCTTGCAGGGCTTTTGTCGTTGCCTGGCAAGGATTGAAGCTTCTTCCCTATCTGTATCGCCAGGCTCTTTCTTGACAATGACTGGAAGCAACTGGAACTCGTTGTTCGTTGATGTGGTTGGAGAAGTCGGATCAACAGAGGAACTTTCTGAGGCTGAGCTGTCATCACAGACCTTGTCGCAGTCATCATCTGCCAGCTCGAAGTCCTTGTATGCTCTCTTGGGTGTTTCATTCCTTCTTTTGCTTGTGATTTTTTGCCCTGTTCGACGCTTCATCTCCGAGGGTTCATAACCTGAAAGCAGCCTGTGGAGAACGAGGAAATGATGTGTGTGCGACTCTACGAAGAGAGGAGTGTGCAGAAAATCAGTGACTACCGCAGCAAGCCTGTTGTGTAAGGTCAGGATATCAACAGGACATCCTAGCTGTCTCATTACCTCTTGTCCACTGCGGCACGCCTTAGATCTGCTTCCCGCTGCTTGTTCTCAATGGCCTTTTTATCTGCCCGCTCATTGATTTGCTCTGCATCACGTTTGCTCCTCTTGACAGTGACTTCCTTCTTAGACACGGCAGTCAAAGACAGGGCTGAATTCCATCGGTTCTTGATCGAGTTGTCTGTTCTTCCAGGGAGCAATTTCGCAATTGCCGTCCATTTATTTCCCAATCTGCGCACAGCAAGTGAGGGGGAGCTGAGGTATAGAAGATCCTGACCTTGCTTGGGCTTCCATGATGATTTTATCCTCTTCTTTTGTCCATGGCCCCTTGTTGATCTTCTCGCTGACGTGATTCTTGTACCGCTCGCGGCACTGCTTCCCTGATCTGCCCTCCATCACGCTTGATATCATGCACCAGTCCCAGTTTCCCAGCCTAGAGACAAGCGCTTTGAGCTTCGCGTCCTCTTCTGGAGTCCAGGGTCGTCGGAGAGGAGCTGATGGCTTCATGTGCTTGTCGCGATGCCCCAAGGTTTGCAGCAGACAGCCATCATCGCTGTCACACATCTTGATCTTCCTTGCTCAGCGATTCAATGACTTGATATCCAACCTGGACAGCAGGATCAGAACCTGATGAAGATGTCGCACGAAAGCTTTCTCCCTCTACTCGACTCTCAAGACAGAAACAATGAGGGTCTTCACACAAATGGAATTCACGTCCTGCAAATGAAGGGCAAGAAAGTTGATGGAGAAAAGGAAATCCCAACGAGTGAGCAGAAGGAAAGACAAAACTAGAAAGTGGGTAAAACCACAAACGATAATGAAAAGTGCTGCGACAGTTTGATAAGCAGGAAAGGAGCAAAATCAAGAGGAGGTGAGAGAAGCGAGAAATGGTAAGGTTTGATGTCGAATAGAGCAGAGCAGAGCAGGGCAGAAATTTGACAGAATGGAACGAAAGCGAATAGAAGGGGATGTGTGATGAGTCGAGGAAGGGCAGAGCAAGACTTGATAGGAAACAGGCAGGCATATCGCGGCGCAAGTCGGCCAGTGATCACACACTGACGAGTAAAGATTCATCGAACGAGAAGAACAAGGAGGAAAGAAACGAGAGGAAGAAGGGCGAGCTTGAGAAGAATGGACGTGGGGAGGGAGATCGGGGGACACGCGAGGACGGGGCCCGAGGTTGAGGAAGGGTACCAAGGGTGGGTCAAGGGTGCTGGGCGTGTGGAGAGCAGTCCGGTAAGGTAGAGAGTGTGCGTTCTAGAGAAGGGGGTAGGGGTAGAAAACGATTGGGAACAAGGGGGTTACAAAAACAATAACGTGATAGTACCCGTACTGATTCCATCAAAAACACTGGTCTTATGGGGTGGGTTTATTCAGAGGTGGCTGGGGTTGGGTAGCTTGTCACGGTCAGGTCTTGAAAGGGGGGTGGGTGAATAAGTTGTTAAGGTACCCCCTGAATACTAGCAAAATTAGAGAAGAAGTACCGGTGATCGAAGCATGTGCTAGCTGGACATTGAGGGTAGGAGGATCCGCCAATCAGGGTGTGGGTGGTCCGAAGAGGGCAGGTAGTGGGTACAAGAAAGGGTTTTGTACCCTACCTGCCTAGGAGTTAAAAAGTACAAAAGTACGGGTACTGGGGAGGAACTTGGGTATCTGTTGAGTGCTCTAGACCGATATGGTGGGTGGTAGTGTAGGGGGTAGGGTGAGATCACCAGCTGCCGGGATCTACTAAAGAAGTGTATTTTAAATATAAATATTCTTTTTAAAGCTCACAAAAACATAAGATTTCACAAAAGCACCGGTGGGAGGGGGTGGGTACGGACTTGCCGTATTGCCAGCAGGTTGTGCAGGGGAGCAGGGGTAGGGTGATGAAACGGGAAATGATACGTAGGAGGGCAAAAATGATGTGACCAGGAGGGGTGCTGCAGAGATGCTGTCTTATTAGGGGATCAGGACTAGCTGGGGGGGAGAACCCAATAATAATTTGAAAGTAATAATGGGGGATTTCCAGTTTTTCAGGCATGGTATTGAAAAACAAATTCAAATACATGGACTGTATTTGGAAAATATTTCGGTTAGCCTGGAAGGTATGGAAATAGTGGCGTGTTGTCCTGAAGTCTCTGTATAAACTTTGAAAGTCAAAGCGAGCAGACTCGGAACGAGAACAGTTCAATTGAACTGAAATGTCAAACACAATGTGATTTCAAAGACGTTGACGTCGACCAATTCAGCCTTGCAAATTTGGGGTGTCGTTTTCAAAACTGATCAGTTCTTGCCGGAAAGTTGACAGTGGCAGGGCTCGTTTATATGTCAACATGTTCACATGCAAGATGTGCAAAATTAAAATCCAATCGTTGCGTATTTGCGACGTTCGAACTCAAGTTAACAGAATAGAGGCATTTTACTACAGGCCATTCTCTTCAACTGAAAGCTCACCTACTTGAAAGTTGATTACCTGCAGCCTAGTGTTCCAGAAGGCATCATCAAAGCTAACATGTTGCAACCTCTAAAAGCCACTGTCTAATTTTAAATTTTCAGATCAAACTTCAGCACATTGTCTGACCTTCAACGTAACCAGCATATTACACCCTCACTCGGAGTCTCCGACCCCGGGCCCGAGTACGGTCCTCGACTCTCCTGATTGTCCTCGTACTGATTTTAACTTAACTTTGAGTAAAGAAGTCTACTGTACGGTACTATATCCCACCGGTATCTGACGGTCACGGCGGCCGGCCGCCGTGACCGTCACGACTCCGAGGTAGTAGGCCCGGAAGTTTCCAAGCAAATCATTGAATCGTCCCCACGGCGATATCATAGTATCATCCGGGCCGGCGGGAGCGGGCCGGGCGGCCGTGAGCCTCACCCAGTCAGGCTTGTGACTCAGAGTCTCAGCGGTTCAACACTTCTCTTGAACAGTGATCTTGACTCAACTGCAATTGCTGCTTGAGCAGGTGATCAGATCCCTAAATCTCAAGTCATCGTCCCAAGGGCAGCAGTGCCTCGATGCAGTACCTCGTGTACGATGAAGTTGCCTCCTTTGTCCACTCTCGAGTGTATTGCAATCACCAGCTCGTTCAAATCTAAAAGCACTTGCAGTTCCGTGCCGTGCTGCACAGCAACGAGATCATACGTCCTTGGAAAGAAAGCAAGGTGCTTCCAGTCAACGGTGTATGCTCTTGGCTTCTGGAGCTACCGACTTCTCCACCTGATACATCCTCCCCCACCATCCTTCGCCCCTGTCACCTTTCCAGCCTGATTCCGAATCGTTTGAGCCCTGCTGGTCGTCAAACAGCACAGGAACAAATATTTCTGTGAACAATGCTTGCATGATGGCTCAAGGGCTGATGAATGCGGAAAGTACGATCTCGAAATTCAACGCATGGAATTTGTTGAGTTCCAAAACCTGCTGAAAGTAATCCTTGAAAAGTACAGGGATTATCAATGCTTTCCTTCTTGTCAGATTATTCCAGACGGAAGAATCTTCTGCGAGCTTTTGATTCTATGTCTGCTCTAAGCCATTTTGCTGAAACACAAATCACAAGCAGACAAGTTTTAGGAAGGTAATTATTGTTTCGGCTGGAATGCCCGAGAAACGTTAGGTCTAAGGGAAATGTCGAAAACCGCGGGGTTTCGACATTCGTGCACACACAACTTCGAGGACAAGATAAATTACTAGAACAATCAGGAGTTGCGTTCACTGAAACACAACAAGCAGAGCAGGCTACTGCTGCTCGCTAGGACATAAAGCTTTTCCCTGCCACGTGTGGATGATGTGTGGCGGTATAAGTCTTGGCCCGGTGCTGCAGACATACTTCTGAACCAAGTTGCTATGTCAGTCAACACGATGTTTCACAGACATGGAGTTAAGAATCTTCAATAGCAACGCCAAGATCAGGCACGTGACTCTGATACATTGAATTGCTACGGACATGTAAGTCGAGCATGGGCTTAGCTAACGGCTTTCGGATGCTGGACGCTCTGGATGGAGTAGGAGATCTTGTAGATTTTCCCCCACTTGTCGAACCCCTGGCGCCTCCTGGTCATTCCCAGCACGTCTCCAAACACATGGAATCTCACCAGCTTGATGTGAAAGAGCGAGTCCTGTGCTGCCATCGCCGCCCGTCCATGCTGCGTCTCCGTGCCCGAGAGCTGCACCAGGCGCTTCACCTGGGAGCTGCTGGTCAACGATGCCATGAGCAGCCGCGCGGACCTGGTCGGAAACGATCTCGTCCTCAAAGACGCTGAACTTTACGTCCAGAGTCTCCTGCATAACGGTGAAGGAGGAAGGGGAGAGAGGGGGAATGAAAGGACAGAATCTATTAAGAAGCGAGGGATGAGGGAGTGTAAGGAAAGGATCCATGATTCGAAGCAGGAGGGAGGATAGAGGCAAGGACAGGTGCTGGGAGGGGAGCATGAAGAGCAAAGAGAGGGCAGCGATGGGGAGCATTCACCTCCACCAGAAGCTTGACAAACATTCTCAGCCCAGCATAGCCGAGGCAGGAGCAGGAGGAGACGTTGGTGCTTCCCTTCAAGGTCAGGTTCTCAGGTTTGCACGGAGCGATTTCGTGGATGCCCGACAGGTTCACTGGGGCGATGTACATCAGCAGGAGAGGCGATCGCGCTGACTTCACCTATTCTTGGGCACGCGGAGAGGAACTGGACTGACGAGAAGTAGGAAAGGTGGACGTCAGGCCTGCAAGCTCTCAACAGGTCCTGCCCAAGTAGTTGAGTGTACATCGTCATTTGACCAGGTCAAATCACTTGTATCTCCCGATTCTCCAGAGATGTGAGAAAGGCCTTAGACCTGGGCAATATGATGAGCGGGTCGGACACGAAGAAGATCATTGCAATGGAGTGAAGGAGGCAGGGGGAAGGGAAAGGGAGAGAGCAAGGAGGGCGAATAACGATAGAGGACGAAGAAGGGAGGAGAGCAGGGGGAGTAGCGATCCCTCCTTCATTTCGCACCTTGAGATCAAAGAGTCGTCGCTCAGCACGGCGATCACGTGACTTGCAAGATGAGAAGCCTGCAGGAGGTCGTGGTATCAGAACCCCTCTGATCACCTCCCCTCTCCCTCCTCCTCCCTCTGCCTCTCCTCCGATTCCCCTCCTCCGATTCCCTCTCCTGCCCTCCCTCCTCCTTCTCTCTCCTCCCCTCTCACCTCTGCTCTGATCCTCGAACAAGCAAAATTGACACGATCAGCAACGAAATCCTTCCAAAGGATCCCGTCAGGGCACGAGTGAAGGAAGGGCAGCAGCGAGACACTGAACAGGTCTTCGCCTCATACCCGCAGAGCCAGGAATGCTGACGAGCAGGGGACGGGGCCGTGCGGCTCGCATGGGCTCCTGAACGAAGCATGAGGACGAGGGAGGGGCGGAGGGAGGGAGGGAGGGGGGGGAGGAAAAGAGAGAAGAAAAAGAAGATCTCACAGGGCGACAGCAGAAAGACCGACGAGGCTTCTCACGAATATCTTGACGTTTACACTCAACAGCAGCGCCTGGAATTCTCATTAAGTGGGTAGAGTGCGAGTAGTCTGGCTCACAAGGTTGTTTGCAGCCTCAACAGCCTTGCGAGCCTGTCCCTGGCAATGGAGTGTGAGCGCGAGAGAGAATTTATCAACATGTTGTGATATCAGCTAGGTAAAAGATGATATCAGAAACGCGCGAGATGGTTGAACTTGATAGGGAGCGCACGGATGAATCGTCTTGACGGCAGAGAAGGATGTGAGCTCACGAGATTTACCTTGACGGAAAGTTGTCGCTGCGCAAGGATCATTCTCTTGAGGAACGTGTAGGGCATGCAAAACATCCCCATGGTATGGTTCCATGAAATGGGAAGAGACGGCCGCATCGACTGTACGTCATGGTTGTCACAGGCCGAGGAGTTTGTGAGCGAAGGCTGCGAGCCATGTATGCCCGCCAAGAACAACAACACAACCAGTAGACATGCTGCAGACGAGGACGGCATCTCAATGGACGGTTTGACAGGTCACGCACTGAGAGCTGGAGTATTTGCTGGGTTGAAGTAACTGCATCTCAGGCGCGGAAGTAGCTTTCAATTTCCTCTCATCTGATAACTTGGCATTTAGTTTTGTCCATCAAGGCAACGATCCTGAAAGCCACAAGATATCATTCAACAACCTTTCGATCCCGTGATTGCAACACGCGTATCGACATGTTTTGCAGACTGGGCAGAAGGGATGGGAGGGATCGACATTGGGAAGGTGGTGGTGAATGTAGAGGACAAGAGCGGGGGGAGAGAAAGAGAAGAGCAATGAAGGAGATAATGGGCTACTCGAGGGAGGAGAAGCAGAACCAAAGTGTGCTAGAGGCAAGGGAACCCTGGGGTGCACGAGCCAAGCGCAAGAACAGGAGTGCCAGGGCCAGGAGCGGAGTCAGGAGGAGGAGGAGAATCAGGAGGAGGATCAGGAGGAGGAGTTGGTAGAGGAGTAAGGCCGAGCGGGAGCAGGAGGAGTAGGGAAGAGCGGAGGGAGGGGAAGGAGCAATGGCGAATTTTCTTTCACCATGTTTGTCTTGCAAGTTACCAACCACCACCCCTTGCAAATTCACAGTATTTATGAGGTAGGGTGTAAATTCAAGTACCCACCATTCGTATGGTGTTTGTTGAACAATGGTACCCCTGTATACAGTACCCTACCTACTAATTATTCAAATTTTCACTACCCCTACCCTCTGTGCATCACAGGAGATTTCGGTGAGATTTTCTGGGAACACGGCGCGAGAACTTGAGACTTGAAACTTCAGTCACGACACACAGGAGAGGAGAGGAGAGGAGAGGAGAGGAGAGGAGAGGAGAGGAGAGGAGAGGAGAGGAGAGGAGAGGAGAGGAGAGGAGAGGACAGGAGAGGAGAGGACAGGAGAGAGATAAGGAGGAGGAGTAGTTGACCAGAGTTCAGAAGTGCAAGTCCGAAAAAACATATGGTTTAACGCAAACACCGATGAAGGAGAAACGCACGAGAAGTTTCTCAAAATCTGCTCCCCCCCCCCCACCCCCTCCCTAAAGAATCAACCCCACATCGCAGGTCAGGTCAGTACTTTTCCTCGCATGCACAGATCAAACGTGCAAGGGAGGGTAAAACTCTTATCGCGATCGGCAGCCCGTCTAGCACCTCCCCATCCACGTTGAACTTGTCCTCGGGGCTCTGGGGAGGGTGTCAATGTCAACCAGCTGGGCAGGAGGCTGGGAGGGTCCACTCACGCTGGGGTAGAATCGCATCTCCACCGCCTTCCAGTGGAAAATCCGACGGTCCCGCACGTGATCCCCCGAAGTTAACTTGGCCCCCATCTGGATCACGTCGAGCCTCCCCACCTGCCAGAAGGAGCTCAGCTAGCGCTCAGCTGAGGGAGGGGAGGGGAGGGGAAGACGGGAGGGGTGGAGGAAAGTGAGGGGGGGGAGGAGTAAAGGAAGCAGGGGAAGGGGGGAAGGGAAAGGGGAGGAAGGAGGAGGCGGAGGTGCAGTCTTACCCCCCCGGGCACGGCGATGACGTCCATGCAGCCGTCGGACAGGTGGACGAAGGGAGCTGAGATCTTCTCGGTGTTGAGGCAGCTGGGAAAGGGCAGGGTAAGAGGAGAGCAGGAGCTCGAGAAGCCTGGTACCCGATCGCCAGGAAGGTCCCGTTGACCCTCTGCCAGACCTCTCGCCTCCTGGGCTTCTCAGCTTGCGGGGTGCTGGGAGACATCTGCGGGGAGACGCTCCTGGCATTGCTCTCCTCCTGCTTGCGTTGCGCACAACTTCAGGGCCCTGGAGCTCCTCGCTCCTCTCCTCTTCACCTCCTCCCTCCACTTCTCTGCCAGGTGGAGCAGCGCAGATCCCCGATCCGACACGTCGTTGAGTCCCTTGAGCCTCCTGCTGTAGTCCAGCTCCACCACCTGCTCGTCCTGTTAGCACCGTTCTCCCCATCCTCGAGCTCCAACCGTCTTCTCTCTCGCCTCCTCCATTTCGGATTCCTGAGACGCCCGTCGGATCTGCGAGGAAGAGTCAGGAGGAGGAGGAGGAGGAGGAGGAGGAGGAAAAAGAGGCACCGCAATGACTCCTCCTTTGATGCTTACAAGCCCTGATGATGCTGAATAGAAAACTTCTGTGTCAGCATGGAGAAAACTCTTCCTACCCATCCTGTCCTTGTATCCCTCCCTGAGAGCAGCCGACCTACAGCCACAGCTACAGCCACAGCCACCACCACCGCCACCACCACCTCCTCCTACTACTACTCCAAGGTTGATGCTACTGCTGTTGCTACACGAACTTATATTCGCTCTTTACCTTCCCCGGTTTCATTGTTTGCTGTCGCAAAAAAGTCGTACTCTTTTCCTTCAAACTTTCGAAACTCGTCCGACTTTCGTCTTCGTCGACCACAACGCGGACAAGGCTGGTCGTAACACGCATGAGGAAGAGATAAGGAGCAGCAAAGAGAAGAATCAATTGCAAGAGCCAGTATGAGCATCAGCATCAGCATCAGCATCGGCATCAGCATCAGCATCGGCATCAGCATCAGCATCGCAAACAGCCAATGTCTTCACTAGACAGCTCCTCCACACGATAATAAACTTCCTCATCCCTTCCCCATCATGACTGCAATCTCACCTGTGGAACAGACTCGAGGAAAATTGAAAATTCTGTCCCGCAGACCACGCAAACCCCGTACTCGATCTTGACATCCTCCGAAGAGTTTTCATCCTCCACCCCCATCAAGTGCGTCACGCTATTCTCGGGCGAGATGCAATCTTCAAATCTCTGCCCCTTCCCCAGCCCGCTGCTATCAACACCGACCTCCTCCCCTGCCACGTGAGAGCGGACGCCAGCTTCTGTTCCCCCGACCTCCTCCTGCCCCTTTTCTGAGCTCGCCACTCCCTCGTGCTCGTTATCGCTCTTCTGCGCTCCTCCTGATCTCTCACCAGCCTCCTGCGGGTCTTGCGATCCTCCATCGCCCTCGCGAGCTTTTGAGGCCTCCCCCTGCTCCCCGTTCGTCTTCGTCTCGTCGTCCCGATTCTCGACCTCTTCCCCATCCGCGTGCAGTCCATCCTCCCGCTTAGGCAACTGTTCGCCTCCTTCGTCTTGCCTTTGCTCCTGTCCCTCATCTCGCACCAGATCCTGCTCCTGCTCTTCTTTCAGCTCCGTCTCCGTCTCCTGCTCGTGCTCGTGCTCGTGCTCGTGCTCGTGCTCGTGCTCGTGCTCGTGCTCGTGCTCGTGCTCGTGCTCGTGCTCGTGCTCGTGCTCGTGCTCGTGCTCGTCTTCCTTCTCCGGCTGCGGCTGCGGCTGCGGCTGCGGCTGCGGCTGCGGTTCCTGCTCCGCCCCAGATTCATCTTCACGAGGTAGGACAACAGTTTCCTTCTCTGTAACCTGCAACGTTGGAGGTCTCGCCTCTTTCGATTGAGCGGCTTGTGATTCTTGTTCAGTCTTCTGCTCGTCCTGTACGACTTGCTCGCGGCCATCGCTCTCAGACTGTCCCGAGATCTCCCTCGAGGCCAAAATTTCAACAGACTTTGACCACTTTGCTTCTTCCTCTCGCTTCAGCACAGGGCTGCCATCCTTCACAGCCTCGCTGCCCTCGGCACGAGTGTCCTCGAACATGCTGCACTCTAGAGTCGGAGAGGCTTCTTCAGTCGCCTCCTCTCTCTCCTCCTTCTTCCCCTTAGCGCAGTCCGACTTGGGGATCCGGGCCACCAGCTTCGACATTGACATCCCATCCGCAATCTTGATCCCTCCCTGATACGGATCCACTTCCTCCTCCTGGGCCATCTTCGCCGCTATCGCTGCTCCTGACCGACATCGGAGGCAGTTCGGCCCGCAGGTACAAAGAGGCCTCTCCCTTGCTGGCAGCACCTGCCACCGCAACTCAGTTTCCACATCTACTTTCGTCACGTTCCCTTCTCCCTGCTCCTCCTCCTTCTCCTCCTTCCTCTCCCTCCCTCCTTCTCACCTCTAGCGTTCCCTTGCAGCCTTTCCACGCGATTATTTCCTTGATTGCGCTGACTGCATAGCGAGAGCGCCCATACGTGCTCCTCAACTGCAGTTGGAACCAGTCAAAGAGAAAACGGGTCGCAATCACCTCATCAGCTCACATTTTCGGATTCTTCTGCAACTTTCCCTGGGATGCCCCATCCAACCCCACAGACACTGCTGATCAAGTCAAGGCAGAACCGTTGATATCTGCTCCATCAGCAACCAACCTAAACATCGTGATATCCTGCTGCACAATCCGCAACACATCCAATGGCCGGATCTGTAACAGGAGACTTCACAACAAGAGACAGAAGGGAGTAAGGGAGGCAGAGGAGAAAATGGAGGATCGAGGGCAAGGGATGAAACAAAGTACAGGTTTAGTCAAGGTTGTAAAGCTGAAGTAGCAGAGGGGTAGATTCAGCAGGAGGACAATTGGGACAAGGGAGACCTCGTGGCATTTCAGGATGATGTACGCAGCTGCATAGGAGTTGAAGAAGGTGGAGATCTTAGCCAAAGTCCCTTCAGAGCCGGCAGGAATGATCCCTGCAAGGCATCAGCAAGTTGCCGATCCTTCAGGTCCCCGGCTCTCACCGACAGGTTTCAAGATCGCTTTCGCGCCATCATGTCGGGAGATCAAAGCAGTGAAGATCTCGTTCAGCGTCCCATCTCCACTCACGCTGATGATCGCCGAGTATTGGTCGATGTCCACCTTCGACACGATCTCGGATGCGTGGCTAACAGGAAACAAGATCAGAATGCTTCAAGTGAACGGGGCTGCCGCATACCCGTGATGTGTCGTGACAACTACGTTGCACTCCACACCCACAAGCTTGAACAAGGGCTCGACGAGGCGGAACCGCTTCGGCCCACTCCTGGTCCCAGAGATGGGGTTGATGAAAACAAGGCATTTGCCGCTGATTCCTCTTGCTGAAAAGGCCACGGCGTTCACTGCAAACGAGACATCAGTCAAGGGGATGACAGGAGCCATGCTTCAAACTGACCAGCCGCTGAGAAAGTTTCGATGCCGTCTGGAGTTGAGAAGCTGTGAACCTCATATTGCTTGTACTCTGTCATGAGTTGAGCCGCCGCTCAGCTCACCTTCAAATTCCCGACCCGCAAGCAATTTCTTCACCTGATTCTCCATTGGAGTCTGGGGTGGTCAAGATGTGCACGATCACTCTGAACTTGTCCTCTTCAAACGAGCTTCGCAACAGTCAACAACATGACACACAAAAATTCGGCAGCACCTGGCACGCAAAATGTTCTTGGCTAAAAATTTCCTTTCTCTCTGCATAGGTCCCGACCACCATTTGATGGTCAAGGATGATGGGCTCACGAGGACTTGACATCTGTTGAGGGAAGTGAAGATCAGTCCGGACATGGGAGGGGAGGTGTCAGAAAACTTTGAGAGAAAGGTGCAAGAGATGCACGAGAAGAGGAAGGTGTAAGAGTTGCAAGGCATGAAGGGGTGTAAGAGGCGTATGAGAATACTTGTGTGTGCTGTTGATCCCTGTCCCGATTCTGCAGAACTTACAGCTCCACTTCAACAAGTCCTTACCCAATCAAAGTCAGCTTGGCTTCAGAAGAGAGGAGAGAGCAGGAGAGCGGGAGAGAGCAGGAGAGCGGGAGAGGGCAGGAGAGAGAGAGCAATGGTCGATGAACAACGTCAGGCAGCCCTCCCTCACCTCCTCGTGCCCATGCAAGATCATCCTCTACGCGTCGCTCCTCCATCCCGCCGCCCCCACCATTCCACAACGGCAATGAAACGTCGTACAGCTAAAATGTAACGGATAGAAACGGAAAGCAGTCACCGGATCCGACTCCGCCGGTCCGATCGGATCCGAGCCTCCGGGAGGCTGACGGTATATCGGACTGAGTCCGCCGGACGGTACGGTCCGACCCAAACTTGGCTCAGTATGCCTTCACTTAACTGTGCGCACTGAGGACAAAGATAGCAGCGAAGGACAGGAAGGCCTTGACCTCTCCGAGTCTGCCGGGCTACTGCTGGGACCGAAAAAACTGCACTACTGCAATGCGTTGCGATCTCTCTTTCCCCGTCCTTTTCCTCCTTTCTTGTGGCTTCTCCTCCTTGTCTACTGCCTTCTCAGGCCCCTGGCACATGGTATGCAGGTTGTCCTGGCAGGAAGGCATGTGAAGTTTTCAACTTCTCCGGATTCTTCAACCCAGCTTTGGTGTTCTCGTTCCAGCAGCCTGGCGTCCTCTATGAATCGAGATCTAATGATGGTACTGCCGTGACCTTACGAGACAACACTGGGATCCTTGAGACTTACCTACAGTCATACCCCCGCACTGGATCATCGAATGACTTCCAGTATGCTTATGTTCCATCCTTCAGGTGCTCGGCGCCTTACACGTACTACACCTGCCTCAATGCCAACTACGACTCGACCGCCAGCTGGCAGCTCGTTTACTCCGACGTGCTCAACAAAGACTACAGCATCGACTTTTCCAACACCTCCTTGCAGTACAGCTTCCAGACCCCCCAGCTGTGCGAGTGGCGGACAGGAGCAGTAGACGCGTCGGTGAGCAGAGGAGTGTACGACGGAGTGAGGTCGAGCAGGGTGGAGGAGATCATCGCGGCGCTGCAATCCGATAACAAGAGCTACACTTTCTTGACCTCATTTTGGACAGGCACTGCAGTTGCGACGAAGGGATCAGGGACGGTACCATGCTTCGACTGCGCGTGTAAGAACGGATACATTGGCGACGAGACACCTGTCGGTGACAACGACAGGTGTACGATGCAGCTGTGCAACGTGAGCGGGTGCGCGCGGAGCTTTGTGGATACACCGGTGCCGTCATGTGCGACAAATCAGATCACCTTTCAAGAGCGGCCGCAAGTTCCAGGGACGGCAGTTGAAAGTCCCCCGGGTCAAACCGAGTCTCAACGGATGCCTCCGACGGCGAGTCCATCTGCACTCACAGCAGGGAGCTGCCGAGTACATCCCTGATCACCGAAGCCACGGGCTGCTGATAGTAGCAGTCAGCGCAGCCCTGGCGGCCTGCCATTGGAGTGTAATACTGCAAATCATTTGAAGCCTGACCGTGGCTCTGTGAGTCGGCAGCACGAGGCAGCTCATGCGACAAGAGTGCTGAGAAGTCTGCACGATCGGTGCAGAGCTTTGTCATCAGAAACAGCAACTCGAATCACAGCTGTCCTCCTTACGACTTTCTTGTGTTGTCTGCCTTCGCAGTCTTGTCGTGGCATACAGGATGGTTCTAGTTTGATCAATGATACACATGTCACGTGCTCTTGACTGATAGAGACATTAAGTTTCGATCCCGCTTTTGATGCAGCGATCAGACTAAGCTGAAACAGTACAAGAAATTCCGATCCCTGTGGCTAACTCACTATTCTTTGCATCGTGAACATGCAAAATCAACATCAGGATGATGGTATGAGGTAGGATTAGTAGAAGTCAGGAGAGCTGACCAACAGTATAGGGCTGACTGCCATCATGCAACTTCCACTATCGATGTGTCGGCCTTGAGCAAGCACGAAATGGCCACGGATTTCAAAGCGACTTCTAATACAACATTGCAATCACAATTCATCATACTTGTTTCCGATTTACAATCCTCATTGTAGGTCAAAAAAAAATACAACCACAAGCAAATTTGCCAAGAATAAATAAAATTTTCTGGTCCCCTACATACCGTAAGACATCGAGCTGAAGTGAAAACGTGTTAACGTGTTGTTCACTTCTTGAAGATGTTTGACAACCACCCGAAAGCTTGGCTCATCCCCTGCTTCTGCTTCCTCACAGGCTGTGTACCTGAAGCTGTCTCGACAAACAGCTCTGCTGCTTCCTTGAACTCCTCGTAGTCGACATACCCGTTCATGTCTATGTCCATGGCCGTCAAGACCGCATAGGTATCCTGCCACATCTTGAGTTTCAACGACAGCTCGAACAATAGCTGGGCGAGTCAGACCTGAAGGACTTGATTCTGATCCGCATCTTGACCTCGGAGCTTGGTGAAGGCAGAAGCAATCTCTCCGGCTGTGATGTATCCGCTCGAGTCCCGATCGATGGTTGCGAAAAGTTCTCTCAACACCGAATCGACAGGCTTTGCGCCTTGCGGAGGAGCCACTGGGGGAGGCTCGAGCCCTTCGTTGGACGCCTGAATGATTGCATCCACCTCTGCAACTAAGAGGGACAGCAAAGGTTAGGATGCTGCAGCTATCAAGGAGATGAGTTGCTACCTGCTTGCTCATACGTATACCCAGCGTCCATCCTGGCTTCGATTTCTGCTCTGCGCACCTTCGCCGCCATGCGTTTAGCGTTCACCACCAGTTTCTGCTTGCCAAAATAGTTTTCCTTGCGGAACTTCTCGTTTTGAAAGTATCTAAGTTGGTTCGTTTTCTCGTAAGTTCCCTGCATCATCACTACTGTTATTGCTGATTCAAGCAGCACCATGTCATACCCACCGTCTTGCTTCCGTCGAGCTTTGCCTTCATGATGTCACTCATCTCCCCGACCAACTTGGTTCCTCGAGGCAGGTCGAGGATGTCGCACTCCTCATCCGTCAACGGAGTCTCTTTCGGCGATCCCGACATTCTCAAACGGCAACCCTCTCTCCCGACGCACGATGCTGCATAGCGATGGCTGCTGGCTCCCGCAGGAAGCATCATGGCTGGGCCTGATAAACTTTGACATGCTCTGCCTGGTAGGGGCGGCAACCAACCCCAGCACAAGGGGGACCAGCTCACCCCCAGCAGGACAAGCACGCTCAGATTCTTCGCCATGCTGCCTGCTGTAAAACTCCAATTTTGAAGTCGACTCTACGCATCGATATAATTATACATAAATCATTAGGTTTGCATCAGATATTATGTATAATTATGATAACTCTTGCTCATTTGCATCTTTGAAATTTGTGACGGACCGGATGTACTGAAAACCAAAACCCTTGAAAGTTTCAAAGTTACTCAACACTGAAAGGCACTGTTCACTTTTTACTGCTGTTCAATACGAAAATGCTGCCGCGGCGAGCTGCCGGGGCCAGAGCCGTCGCACAATGATCATCACTCAGTGGTTTTCTTCACTGAGGCTACTCACCGTACGGCGGCGTGCGCCCGCACAGACGGTCCCGACCAGCCTGGCAGGCTCTAGTAGCCTCCGAGACTACGTTACCTGGCGGCTCAATGGAACGATGAGCGGTAGCTCTGCACTTGGCTCCATAGCGTCTCAGCAAAGCCTGCCGCCTCCTTGTCATCCCTCTATGTCAACCGGGCAACAAGCTGGGCCGTCACCTCTGGTCAGACGAACTGGAGCGAGAGGGTCTCTGATGATGGTGATGGCTGCCTCTGACGCCTTCCTCGCGACAAGCTCAAAACAGCTTTTGATGAACTGTCAAACGTAGCTCAACAAATTTCGTTCCATCCCGCCTCCATACCTCAGCAGTGCCGTTGGGACTTTTTCTTGCCCTGTCCCACTGCCGCTTGAACAGCCTATATGATTGCTTCACTGTGATCTTGCCCAGCATGTACCAAGCGTTTCCTACGTTCCACTGCGACATCCTATTGTCAACCCCTTGCCGGCCTATCACCTTCAGCCTGCACTCACCAGGGCAAACATGACCTCCTCGCCCTCCGCGATGATTGACAGCTGCCCGCTCAGCTTGTTGTAGAGCGCCTGAAGGATCTCGTCCATGACCAGCAGCGGCACTGAAAGCACCGCTAGCAAGAGGAGAGGTATAAAGCACATCAAGGCAAGCCACATCACTGCAAAGCTCAAGGGATCGTGACTTTCGGGTACCAATGCTCGCTGATACATCGGGACGAAACTCTGCACCACTTGGGCACGCACAGGAGGCCAGATCAAGCGAATCCTTCCACATCTCCGAGCTCTAGATTTTCTCCTCCTCTTGTGCTTGCGAGAGCTCTGATCTCTGTCCTCCGCTTGCTCGGTCTCTGCAGTACTCGCCATCGCTGACCGACCCTGACTAGATCGCTGCCGATCGCCCTCCTCTTCGATCATCTCAAAGCGATCAGAGATTTGTATGTTTCCACCATTCTGATCCAGCGCCATCTCCGCCGTCCGCTCTAGAGTCTTTCGAGCGGTGGTGGTCACATAACGAGCAAACGAGATACCAAACTGGGCCATCTGGACGAGGTCCTCCTCGTCGATCGAGGTGATGGTCTCTTTCAACTCTTCGATGATCGTCTCTAGCACCATCATCTGCCGCACAAAGTCCTCCTCCGCCGATCTCTGCGTCTCCTCCGTCCACTCCTCTGCCATCCTGTGAACCCGTCAAGAAACTTAACTAGTGCTGTGCTGACAGCCTGACCGGTTCCTCATTCTTTGCCTGATGCCTCTCATCTCCGCAAGCAACGACGATTGCTGCACACAACCCGTCAGTGTCATGGGAGCTCGTCGCTTACAGTCGAGCCTCGTCGGCCTCTAGTACAGAAGACGACATCATCTCCTCTATCTGTCATGCAGGTCACTTCTTCCTCCCGACGCCCCCGCAAGACTCACCAACATGTCGTCCTCCAGCGGTTCAGCGCTGCTGTCGTTGCGGAGTTGCACACAGGACTCGATGTACTGCTTGGCCTGGAAGGATTGGCAAACCTCAGCAGGGACAGGGCAAGGGATTCTCTCACAAAGTTGCGACGCTGCTCCGAACTTTGCGGCAGCTTCTCCTTGAAGGAGCCGAGTACCTGCCAGTAGCTCAGCTCGAGTCTCTCGACCTCTCCAGCTTGACACCTCGCCGAGTTTTCCCAGCACTTGTCCGAGCACAGACGCGACTTGAGCTGCCTCGAGGTCCCAAAGCCTGTCCTCTACATCCTCCAGCCCCTATCGCTCAGCTCATGTAAGGGAGGAGCGTTCCGCGTCTAGTTCCCCTCACCTGGATGAAGGAATCTGCAGCTTCTCGTAGGGCTTCACGTTGAGTGTCGGTCAGCCGCAAAGACATGGTGCGATGAAGCTTGTTTGAGCTAAGGAAAACAGCGAAGGCAGGGAACAAGGTATCGCCCGTGAAATCAAAGGTTAACGATGGGTTTCAAGAGATGTTATGCAGCGATCCTCGAGGAGTCCGGTACTTGCCCTCTCATCGTCTGAGCTCGTCTTCCTTGTAGGGTACTTCTCTTGCTCCCCGCCCAGTGGCTCGCGAAAGGAGCAGCAACCATATTCTCTCCAGGGCACTACAAAGGGAGCCGGACCACTACTGTCAGTCACGGAGTCCCGGGCCCGGCGCCGGCGGCAGCTCCCGGGCGCCCGGGCGAGCAGGCCCTGGTAGGCGTCTTATTGGCTAAGTTTAACTTAACTTTGAGTAAACTAAGCGTGCGGTGAGATGAGATCGGAGGATTTTGTCACTGACAGTGGGACTCTTTACTCAAAGTTAAGGTGAGGCAGGTCTGGTCGAGGACTGAGCTCGGAGGCTTCAGTGACCCTGCCGCTGTGCCAGTGCTGGAACTGTCGCACAGCCTGAGTCACAATGGGACAGCACCATGCCATAATGGGCAGGCCCGGCCGGGCACAACAGCCGTCGAAGTTCACCCCGCGACTGAGCCCGATCGGACAGTAACCGTCTGATGAGCGCCGACTGTTCGACGGTTTTCAACGTTCTGAGTCCGATCCATCAAACTTTTGACATCTCTTCGATGGGCTCTGTAGGGGTCCTTTGCATGGGAGATTCAGGGGTACTCGGGGGTGATCCAAGCAGCGGTCAGTAATGAACGTGCGGGAGGAAGTGAGGCGAGCGACAATGGCGATGAGAGCGAAGGGAATGGGAGGAGGTGAGAGCACGAGCAGCAGGAGAGAGGATCGTGCCGAGACACGCGGCAGGGCAGGGGATGGAGAGTCGACGTGGAAGGCAAGAGGATCAAGGTCGACATCGGACTTGATCTGGGACGAGTTGCAGCAGCTGAAGGGGACGAGGGTGGAGGAGGCGGAAGTGAGAGCAAGAGATGTCGTCGATTTCACCAACGAGCCCGTTCACAGCTACAGGCAGAAATACAGCGATGGAGATGCCAAGGGCACTAGCTACAGCAGCTCTGTTCTACATGCCTTGGATGCAAATGTAAACAGCTCGTTGAAGTATTATTCGATGCAAGACGAGCTCAACAAGATAGACCTTGACAACATCAAAGAGCAGAACAGAAAGCTCATCGACGACTTGAACAGAGCTCTCAACAGACCCTCAGCTGATATCAAGACAAACAGCGTCTTGAGCGGGTACGAGCACACAATCCAGTCAAGGGCGAGCTCGGCTAAGACAGAGGGCAACGAGGTTATCAGGGTCACCTTGACTGTTTGCGGTCTTGATGCTGAGAGTTTCATGAGGTCGTCGGTCCACGAGTTTTCCCAGGGGGTGGCGAAGAGCCTTTCGCTGCCCATCCACGCCATCTTTGTTTCTTCGGTGGACCCCGACGAGGGCGGCTGCTTCAAAGTCCGACTGAACGTGTTCTTCTCGAGGGAGGGGAGCCCTAGAGATGTCTTCGATGCTATCAGAAAGATGTGCCAGGAGAAACCTCCCTACCTGCTGCTCGAGCGTGAGATCCAGATCTTGATACCTCCCCTCTGTGTTCAGAGCTTGCAAGCGGAGCTGCTGCGTGAAGGCTCCTCCCAGCCACTCTCTGAGATCTTTGCCTCTCGATACTCTCCGCTGAACGAGACGAGAGGCTTGTCACAGCACCTGGAGACAGACAGGTCGAAGAAGCTGCTGCAGGAGTACAAGGAGAGCCTGACCAACCTGACGCATCGAGAAGTGATTCATTGCAACTCGAGGGAAGAGCTCATCAACTTCATCGGTCACTGGGCGAAGCAGGAGAGCAGGAAGCAGATCAAAGAGGACATGAGGATGTGCAAGAATCTCAAGTGCGTCACGAGCATGCTCAGCAACAGGCGCGCGATCATCGCTCTCGAGCACGTGATTGCTCTCAGCTTCCTCCACCGCCAGAAGCTTGTGGCGTACCTGGATCAGCCGGAGCTGAGCAGCTTCACCCGCGGCTCTTTGAGGGACTTGCAGACAGACGATGCGACGGACGAGGACCTTCTCTTCTATCAGGAGCAGCAGGAGAGGAAGAGAGCTGCTTACTCCTTCAGAGGGAGCCAACCGGAGAAGCCCAAGCCTCGGGACCCTCCCCCTTCAGCTGTCTCCGAGCCGTCCTCCACATCCTTCGCTCCTCTGACGAGCCTGTCAGGGCCTGGCAGGACACCGAAGAACGTGTCATGGGCGAGAGATCCGCAGGTGACGATGAGTAGCATCCTTGAGGAGGTGATCCACCCTACTCGTTCCGGGGGAAGCGACAAGGGCCAAGGAGCGTTCGGGGCAGAGCAGGAGGATGTGGAAGGGAAGGATGCTCTGATGATGCAGCGGCTGCCCGGGCACGAGGCCAGCTCAGCCTATCCTCCTTCTCGAGCTCTCCTTCAGCGACAGAAAGCGCTTCCAGCCCTCCAGGTCCACTCGGATGACGACGGGAGTCTGGGCAAGCGCTCTTCTCCTCCTCCGGAAGGAGCCTCTCCCCTCACTGCTTCCGAGGCCTCTCCGCACGTTCCCCTGTCAAACCCCGTGCGCATCGAGTGCCAGCAGCTGGGAATCGACCTTATCCGATCCTCCGACGGCCGACTCGTCGTCCTCGACATCGCCGACGGCAGCCGCACCAGTGGCCTGAAGCTCGGGGAAGAAGTGACGTCTCTTCCCCGGAAGGTCTTGGAGGCGCCGAGCTCAAGGGAGATGAAGGAAGCTATCTCCAGCTACATCCTCCTGGAGACTCTCGAGGCCTCCTACGAGTCCCACAACCCCTTCCTCGTCTTTCTCGTCCTCCGCGAAGAGCAGCCGGGGCCCTCTCTCCCCACTCCCTCCTCCTCCTCCTCCTCCTCCTCCTCCTCCTTCCCTCTTGTCAAAGTTGTCGTGCACCTCCCTAAGGGCAAGATCAAAGATCTTGGTATCCACATCCGCAGGGGGAAGTTCTCAGCTGCGGTCGTCTCCAGCTGCGACCCGGGCAGCCCCGCGGCCTCTGCTGGGCTCTGTGTCGGGGATCTGATCGTGGGTCTTGGGCAGCGGAAGGTGAAGGAACTCTCGGAGGAAGACGTCGTGCACTCTTTCAAGGTAAGCTCGCCGCCCCCAGCTGGTTTCCAGCTCGACTCTTGCTGACATTGCAGTAGGAGAGCACGAAGGGCTTTCACCTGCTGGGGGCCAGGCGGGAGGGGGTGGAACACTGGCTGCTCCTGCTCAAGGAACCGACGGGCCGCTCGTCCCTCGGGCAGATCGAGCGGACGTTTTCTACCTCCTCCCTCCGGATCGAGAACCCTCTCGAGTCCTTGTCCAGGGCCATGTCAGCCGCCGGGGCCGCCGCGTCCTTCGGCGGCTCCATGCTCAGCAGGGCCTCGTCAACGGCCTCCTCCTTCCCTGCTGTCCGGCTGAGCAGAGCCTTCTCGGAGACGTGGAGGAGGGCGGCTGCGGGGCAGAAGGTGCAGGTGCTGGTGGCGCGAGGAGACAAGGGAGTCAAGAGCTTCGAGCTCGAGGCAGGAGGAGGAGAGCTGGGAATGCAGCTGCACAGCAACGAGCAGGGGACGAGGATCAAGTGGATCAAGCAGGGGGGGATCGGGTACCAGAGCGGCCTGCGGGAGGGGGACAGGCTGCTGGCGGTGAACCTGATGGCGGAGGATGATGATGAGGAGAACAGGAGCCAGGCGTCCTTCAACCAGCTCTGAGCTGACTGTGAGCTGGAGAGAAGGAGGGTGAGCGGTTGGTCAGCGCGGGCTCTGCTGGAGACCATCGAACAAAGTTTCTTTTTCAGCTCTTCTAGTGTCACAGTGATATAAAGTACAAGGGATGCTACACGCCAGCTATCTGACCTCCTCCTGCTCCTCCTGAGAAATCTCAGGTGAATTTTATCAGATCGGAAATCTGGGAGGAGCTAGTGCTCCTTTGGCCATCGTCGTCGTCCTCCTTTTCTCCTGGAGCTGCTGCCGCTCCTTCTGCCCCTGCTCCTGCTCCCGCTCCCGCTCCTCCAAGTTGCCTCCGTGTAACGACAACTTCGACCTCCAGCGGCTCGTCGAAGGGGTTCAGCTGGAATCTCCGAATTCTCAGCTTCACTTCGCTTCCTTCCTCCCCCTCGCACAGTCTCTGAACTTCCCCCGCTGACCTCCCTTGCAGCTCCTCCCCGTCCAGCTGAAGGACCTCGTCGTCCAGGTTAACCTGCGTTACCCGTTTCAACAGGAGGGAGCGAGGGGGCGGCACTGAGGGGGGGGGGAGGAGGACGAGGAGGAGGACGACGACGAGGACGACGAGGACGACGAGGACGACGACGAGGACGAGGACGACGACGAGGAGGAGGAGCACGAGAAGGGGGGGAGGGAAGGGTTGTTCGGACTGACATGCGGTTGATCGCTGAGCTTCCTCTTGACCCGCAGCTTCCCCTCCTCGTCTGCTACATCGTCATCGCCATCTCAGCTCCCCACCTCTGCTGCCTAACACTCTTTGACTACTCGCTCTGCTCTCCCCTGCCTCTCCCCTCCTCTCCCCTCCTCTCCCCCTCTTTCAATCCTCTGCCATCCCCTTCTCATTTCCTTTCGTTTCTCCCCCTCTCCTTCTATCCCTTCCCTTCCCTCCTGGTGCTCGTTGGTTCACGTCGCCTCACCTCGCTCAAGCACGAGGCCCAATCCAACTTGTTCCTGCAGGTCTGTAAGCTGCTTGTATGTACTTGACTTGCACGCACCGTGAAGTCAAGAGAAGTGTAGAATTCATCCTCATTGTGGAAAATCTGTTGTACTGCAGATAAGAATTCCAAGATGTTTTGAGACGAGCAAAGACAAAGATATGTATGGAAGACTAGAAGACATGGTAAAGACAAGACAATGAAGTTGAAGATTTGAGAGAATGGAGGAGGAGGAGGAGGAGGAAGACAGGCGGGCAGAGGGCGGGAAGAGGAGGAGGAGGGAGGAGGGAGGACGGGAGGGGGAAGAGAGGAGGACAATGGAGATTGCAAAGGAAGACAAACGGAGGACTTGCACTGAAAGCTCAAACGAGATGAGATTTCCTTTCCTGCGTCTCCATCGGGTCGTCCCAACTTTCATGGTCGCAGGAAGACTGGAGGGGCGGGTGAGAGGAGGGAGCGGCAGGAAGAGCTCTTACCGTCCTCGAGTCGCTGTCGCTTCCTCCTACCTCCGATCGGACCTTCTCTTCCAGCTCCATGATCTCCCTGCTCTGATCTGCTATCCTCTGCAGGCCGGATGGATGAGAGTGCAGCAGGAGGAGAGGGGAGGGGAGGGGAGGAGAGGAGAGGAGAGGAGAGGAGAGGAGAGGAGAGGAGAGGAGAGTAGAGGAGAGGAGAGTAGAGGAGGACTGTAGGGGAGAGGAAAGGATGGCGGGTCATAGCGTACGTGAGACAGGAGCTCGATATCTGTGCGCAAGTTTGAGACGACGTGACGAAGCTCCTGATTACTTCCATGTGAGACAGGAGAGGAGAGAGGAGAGAGGAGAGAGGAGAGAGGAGAGAGGAGAGAGGAGAGAGGAGAGAGGGCCTCTTGTGGGGAATAGAGGATAGAAGGCCGTCGAGGACGAGAGGGGACGGGGTAGCAGAAGGGGACTAGCGTGGAAGAGAGGTGGAGGAGAAGGAGGAGGAGGAAGGAGGGAGAGAACCTGGTTCTGTTGGTGTAAGGACTCGTCTGTTGGCACTCTACATCGACCGTTCACTCTGACTTGAAACTCACTTGTAAGGAATCTCACCTGATAGGAGAGATGCCCAAGTCGAAAAGGCCGTCGGGTTCCTCCGCCGCCTCTCTCACCTGCGGATCAGAGCAGAATCAACTTTGCGTCATGGCAGGGCAGGAGAAGACTTGCCGTCGTCGAGCCGGTCCGGGAGGATGAGGAGTCAAGATCCGAGTTGCCTCCGAGTTCCTCCTCCTATCGAGCCGAAGGCGGTCAGTGGGCGGAGCACAAGGTAGACAAAGAGGAGGAGTAGATGAGGACAAAAGGAGGAGGAGGAGCGAAGGAGGGGAGATGGGAGGAAGGGAGGGGATCAAGAGAGGAGGGTAAGAGGGAGAGAGGAGCACACTTACTGCTTTCCTTTGAAAGAACGTGTGTTGCTGCGATCGCTTCTTTTCGAGATCCTTCCAGATCGAATCAGGAAGGGTGGAGAGGGGAACTGTGACAGGAGAGAAGGGATGGGGAACGGGGAGGAGCAGAGCAGGGATGCAGGAGAACACGGAAGTGGGTTCGGTTGGATAAAACGGATTAGTTGAGTAGAGCAGAGAGCAGATTCTGTGGCGAGAAGGAAAGGAGGGAGAGGAGGAAGAGGATGGGGAGAGGAAACATCAAAGATGCCGGAGTATGGGAGCAGGAAATCGTTTCGTCCCAGCACCTCCCGTCTCTACCTGCAGATCCATGGACAAGTGACTTGCGATCTCAACAACCTCGATCTTGATTCTCTCAAGCTCCAGCATAATCTCCTGGAAACGCAGCAAGCGAAGGTTTCACTCTCCCGTCCTCCAGCCCAACTCCTCCTTCTCTTCCTTCACCTCTGAGATGTGCTTGGCGACATGGCTGTGCATCCTCATCTCCTCTAGATCTTGCGACTGCTGCTCCCATCGCAGCCTCTCCTGCTGTGCCTGTCGGCCGTTCAGAGACGAGAGGGAGAAAGACGAAGAGGGGATGAGAGAGGAACAGCAGGGAGATGAGAGGGGAAGCAGTGATGAACATGAAATGATCAACTCTGCACTGATTGTTCGTCTTGTCACTGGTGTCATCACGAACAAACACACGACAAGGATGGAAGCTACTGTTCTGAGATGAGAGTAACAGCATCATGCAGCATACACCACTCACATCCCTCCTTGCCGCCTCTGCCGCGACCTTCTCATGCTCCAGCGCCTGACATGTTCCAGCCGTCACTGCGGGGGGGGAGGTCAAGGAAGACCGCGACTCACGAGCTTCAAGGAGGGAACGATCTCCGAGAACTTGCAAGAAGGTTGGGTTTGATTGCCAGGGAGGGAGAGGAAATGCTGTATATCCGCGTCCGTGACGAGTAGCTCCTTGCTGATCAGCGTCCTACAAGGATTTCCATCAGCCTGCACGGGGGGAGAGGACAGGGAGATCTGTGTACGAGATGAAGGACATGATAAGCTGCTTGTTCTTCTCAACAATTTGCCTCTTGGACGATTTCACCATAGGGGTTTTGTTCTGAGGAGAAGGTAGCGGCATCAAGGGTGGGGTGCGAAGGAAGGCGGGTCGCAAACCTTGATCTTGGAAGGAAGGTAGAAGTACTTTTCACACAGGAGCCTTTTCCTACACGTGAGTAGACAACACTGACACGTGAAACCTCTGCTCATCACCTCTCGAGCTTCTGAAACTCCTTGTAAGATTTCTTGACCTTCAGCCTTGTCAGTCATCACCCTGACTCATTCTCGCCTTCCCAACCTTTGCGATGCACTTCCCATCCTCAGAGAAAAGAGAGATCTCGTACAGGGTGGAGGCGTTCTTCCTCGGAAACGCTTCGATCGCAAGCTTGCATCTCACAAGGTTCGCCATCTTCAACAGGATTGACCTCTCAAGGCAGCTGACAGAGCCCATCGAGCTGGCGAAAGAGGGCTCGCGGATGAAGTCGCTGTAACGCGGAGAGTGGAGGGTGGAGTTTGGCTCCTGCATGGTCGGACTCGTAACCATCTCCTGTCCTGCGCGAAAGAATCTCAAAGTGAGCATTACACAACCCACTTTGTCTTCCAGCCCCCTCCCCAGCTCCTCTTTTCCTTTCCTTGTTCTTTTCCTTCTTCCTACTCCTTTGTCCCTAGTTCTCAACCCTGGTCCCCTCTTCCTCTCTTGCTTCTGCCTTCCTGACTTCCTCCCTCCCTCCCTCCCTCCTTCCCTCCCTCCTTCCCTCCCTCCATTCTCGCACCCTCCCGGACATTTTCTGCAGAGTTGTACCTCCCTCTGCCCACCCCACCTTCCACCTCAAGTACCCACAACTACCGGAGCTCCTGACAACCCCCACCCCCTGAAGCGAACCCACCCATGCTACCTCCAGGAAAAAAATCCCTTCAAAACACCCCTCCAGACGGGGTTTTACCTTTTCGAGACCACCTTACCCCCTCGGTACAAAGTGTGTCTACTACCCCTACCCCTCTAGCCAATATGGTGTCGTCCCCCATTTCCCAACAGCTCACTCCTTTCCCACCCCACCCCCGTCTGTCCTCTTAACCCCCACCCTTATTTTTCCTAATGACTACCCGTACCGTGTTCTGTGCACCAACACCCCCTCCAATCAGTACCTTAGAATGTAAGAGTCCTTACCCCTACCCCCTGATTGATAACATATCTGATGACCCCACCCGTCTCTAGAGACAACTTTGTGGGATTGTGACCCCTCCTCTCCCCTATACTTGTGGACCCTCCCCTTCCCCTTGGCCACGACCCTCAGAAATTTCCCGCGAAAACCAGCTAACAGGCTTACCCAGAGGACTAATCAAGGCGAGGAGAGGAGAGGAGAGGAGAGGAGAGGAGAGGAGAGGAGAGGAGAGGAGAGGAGAGGAGAGGAGAGGAGAGGAGAGGAGAGGAGAGGAGAGGGGAGGGGAGGATCACAATAGAGTTGATGAGTGGGCTTGGCATGCATCTGGTCTTTGTGTCCTAACACAGGGGGGTCGTACGGCCTTCGACCCATTCGTGGTAGCAAACAGATTTCATGTTCGATCTTCGTAGCTCAACTCATCTCCTTTCAACTGCGGTCAAACTCGTCTAAGAAGATCGAGAATCTCCCAGATCCGAAGTATCTGAAACCCGTCTCTCGTTGCCCCGACGGGCTTGATAGCCCAGGTTGTGGAACCCCGATACCTGCCATGAATGTTAGTGTCATGGGAACTAGCTGACACCTGACTTCATCCCAACTCACTCCGTGGTAACGCATGGAGAGCGTTTGACATGCTGGTCGAGAGGTAAGAGGATGGTCGGAAGGCTTGACGTTCCTGCAACTGGTGCTGGAGCAGGCTCTGGTCGGTAGCGCTACCAGCTTCTCCTCCTTGCCATGGCGTCTCAGAGGTCAAGGAGTGTTCCCTTCGTCTCCTCGTCACTGCCCTCTCCTGGAGTGGATCCTGCTCCACACTGTCCGAGCTCTCTCGCGCTTCTCTCGTGACCTTCCGTTCCAACTTGCTGATCCTCGCGTGCTGCTCCTCTACTCGTTGCTCCAGTGTGCTCACTCTACTCCATACGCCAGCCACAGGAAAGAAACTCCTTCCCCGAAACAGCCCCCCTTCCCCCGACTCTGACTCGCAGGTATCGCTCAGCATGCTCACGCCTGAGTCATGTCGTCCTTGTTCGATGCTCAACTTGGAGCTTCGGGTCCTCCCGTCATCTTGGACGCTGATCTCTGAAGCTCTCGAGCTTATTTCTGGGCTGTGGCTATCACTTTCAATCAAACAGCCCTTGTTCAGGAGGAGGCGGTCAATCGAGGAGTCATTGCTGCTAGGCTTCTCACACGTGTCAACAGCGTCGTCGACACTAAGCTGCTCTCTTTCCAAAGCACAACGATCCCAGTGCTCGTTGAGCTGAATCACTTGTCTGTGTTCCTCGAATCTCTTCCATATCCCCTGAATCACATCTTTTAGTGCCTTGTGCAAGTTCTCAGCTGCAATCACGGCAGTGCTAGCTCCGCTTATGATGACAGTTTCAAGAAAACGACTTGTCTTGATCAGCTCCATCAGTTCGTTCCGGCAAGGCTCCACGTTGTCTGAGACGAAGTCGATGAAGGAGTCGACGGGCACGAACACTCGTTGTGAGATCACAACGCATGAGACTTGGTTACAACCATGTCCTTGCGGCGACTTCAATATCATCCGTGAAATCTCGTTTGCGGACGAGCTCCTTTCGTATCCATCGAGGAACTTCAACCCTGTCGGTACAAGGTCTCCCCCAGCAGCAGCATCGTCCTGGGGCTCTGGATCCGAGCTCGAAGAGTCCAGGAAGCACATCTCCTCCTCCTCATCTCCTTCGTCTGCTGGAGGAAAATCACCCCCAGCTGCTGTGGAAGTTGTTGGGAGCATCGACGGTACCTGCCAGACAGCAATGTCGGATCACACTGAAAGAACCTGCTCGTTGACTTACAGCACTCGTCGCTACCGAAGTGTCTCCTCTGACCACCAGGGAGTCCCACAAGTCATCGAGAGCCTTTGCCCGTCTATGGAAGGACTTGACATGTTCGAGTTGAGAAGCAGAGGGCAGATCCTCGGCCTCCTCCTCCATGTCTTGCAAATTTCTATCTAGGGCCCGTACCAGAGCTTTCAGGCATAGATGAAGCTCCGACAGCCTCACGACAGAACCAGGGATGGCCCTGACAAAGTTGCTGATCCCCTGCATGTACAAGTTTCGAAGGGCGAGCGAAGTCGATTCCCCTGCATTGATGAAAGTGCAGAGGGAGTGAACACAGACGTAGTCGCCTTCAGCTCTCCGGATGACATCTACCTGCTGCTGCTCCTCCAGCGACTGCTGCGGATGCCGCAAGGTGCAGAGCCGCGTTCCAGCCTCCTCTCTCCCACCTCTCTTCCTCGTCTCCGGCCTAGTTTCGGCACAGAAGTAGTAGGGAAAGAAATCCCAGCCGTCCTTCTGGACGAGTGCTGGAGCTTGAGGGGTTGACGACTCATCCACGTTTGCCACAACATCAGTAGAGTGTTGCTTGAGCAGCATAGCTACTCATTGCTCTTCAAGGCCGGTGCTGAGTGATCCTGCGTCTGAGAATACCTTGAAGAGAATGCTGTATCCGTGACTGAATTCCTCAGTGTGCTGAGGCAACAACTCTTGACCGTCGTCTGAAGTCGGAAGAGGGAGAGGGCCTCGGAGAGGGAGAGGCAGAGGCAGAGGAAGAGGCAGAGGAAGAGCCTGTAAGAGGCGCAGAGGCAGAGGAACCGTTGAGGAAGAGTAAGCCTGAGGGAGAGGGAGG